GATGGTCCTGATGCTGGAGTCAGAGCTCGGTAGATCCCAGATCAGCCTGGAGACAGCAGAAGACAAGGCTGCCAAGCCTCAGGATGGGCCCATAGAAAGTATCCGAACTTAACCTCAGGGAGGAAAAAGGAACGAGGAAACCAGCACAGAGCAGAGAGACGTACGAACCACAGGCACACAGTCCGCTATGCATGTAACTGGAGCCGAGAAGGGGAGGAGCAGAATGAAGAAGCAATAGGTGGAAGATGACGGCTGAGAACTTTTCCGAATTGATAAGAGACTCCAACACGCAGACTGAAAAGCTCCAAAACCTCTAGGCAGAGTAAATACAAAGAAAACCACATCTGGGCACCATAAAGTCAGACTTCTAAAAAAGGAAAAAAAGAAACAAAGGAAATCTTAAAAGGCAGCCTGAGGGAATAAAAACAGTGTTTCAGAGCAGCGGTAATAAGACTGAGGCAACAGCTAATTTTCAACAGAAACCATGAATGCTCAAAGACGATGGAATATCATCTTCAAAGTGCCGGGGTTGGGGGGGGAGGGCACTACAGTTCTACCCCAGGTGAAAGACCTTTGAAAATGAAGACAAACTAAAACCCAGAGGGTTCTTTACAGCAGAACGGGACTGTAATAAATATTAAAGGAATTCTGTTAGCCTGAAAGCAATGACCTCAGAGGGAATCACGTAACTGCAGAAAGGAATGAAAAGCCCGTGATCGTTTAAAGCAACAAAAAAGTCACGTCTGGTGGAGTCCGCACCCACACAGGAGTAAAATGTGTGACAGCAACATCATAGAGCAAAGAAGGAAGCAAATGGAGCCAAACTAGTGTAAGGTTTTAAATTGTCCAAGAAATGGTAAAAAAAAAATTTAAGATAGACGGTGATGAGTCAAAATTGCATACTGTAATATCTAGTATAACCACTAAAAATACAGAAGTATGTATCTTGAAAGAGAGGATAGGAGATAAAATGGAATAATTGGAACTAGTTCACTCATGAAAAGAAGGTAGGAGAGGAAGTATAATGAAACCAAGAGCAAGTCAGGAAATAGAAAACAAAGAGAAAGATGGTAAACTTGAACCCAGCTATATTCATAGTGACTCAGTGTAAATGGAAAAAACACTCCAATAGAAAGGATTGTGAGATTGGGCAAAGGCAAGATCTAGACATTAATATATGCTCTTTATATGGGACCTACTTCCAAATATAAAGGCACCAACAGATTGAGAGTAAAAAAGTTGAAAAAGATACAGGTCTTGCACACACTAATCAAAGGAAAGCTATACTAATATTGCAAAAAGTAGAATTAAGGCAAGAAATATTAATAGCGTTAAAGAGGAGATTTTGTAATGAACAAAAGGTCCAATCAAAGGAAGATCAAACAGGGGCGCCTGGGTGGCTCAGTCAGTAAAGCGTCCGACTTCAGCTCAGGTCATGATCTCACGGTTCGTGGGTTCGAGCCCTGCGTGGGGCTCTGTGTTGACAGCGCAGAGCCTGGAGCCTGCTTCAGATTCTGTATCTCCTTCTCTCTCTGACCCTCCTCTCCTCATGCTCTCTCTCTCTCTCTCAGAAATAAATAAAACATTAAAAAATTTTAAAAAAGGAAGACAAAACGATCCTGAATTGGACATAGTGAGTTACTGCATCAAATTATACAGAGTAACAATCACACAACTAAGCGCAGAAACACAAGAACACCAAGCATAGTTGGGGGCTTCAATTCTGTTCTCAGCATCTCAGGGAGCAAGCAGGCAGGATAATCAGTGAGGATATAGATTTCAATAACTTGACTCAATTGCGATTTTCAGGACACACCATCTAGCAAGCAGGTACTATATTCGAGTGTACATGAGAAGTTTGCTAAGACACATCACGTGCTGGGCCAAAAGCAAGTTTCAACAAAATCCATGTTTCTTCTTCTGCTTCTTCTCCTTCTTCTAAGTGATGGGCTCAAGGCCATACTTTAATAGAACTAGGGTTTGAATTCAGGCCTACTGCCCCTGAAACCCATGTCTACTTAATTATGCTAATTGCCTCTCATGTTTCTTGTTTATCAGTAGTGGATGTCTATACATACAAAACAGAACATTGATCTTTATCCCTTACCATATGCAAAAATTAAGTAATTTGATTAATTAATCATAAAAGATTAAAACTGAAAGATAAAACACTGAAGCATCTAGAAGAACTCAGAGGACAACATTTTCATGATCTTGGATAAGTAAAGGTTTCTTAAACAGGACTCTTAAAAGCCCTACCATAATAGAAAAAAATCAAAACACTGGGCTTCATAAAAAGAAACAAACAAAAAACATTGAGCGGTAAAAAGACAAGGCATACACTAACAGAGGGTATTCTTTTTTTATATAGTGTATATATACATATACATATATATACATGAATCTTTATTTTATTTATTTTCATGTTTATTTTTAAGAGAGAGACAGAGCATGAGTCAAGGTGGAGCAGAGAGAGAGGTAGACACAGAATCTAAAGCAGGCTCCAGACTCTGAGCTCTCAGCACAGACCCCAATGCGGGGCTTGAACCCATGAACTGTGAGATCATGACCTGAGGCGAAGTCAGAGATACTCAACCAACTGAGCTACCCAGGCGCCCTGAGAGGGTATTCTTAATGCACATATCCAACAAAAGACTCAGTCAGGAATGCTTAGAGTACTCTTAGAAATCCCTTTAAAGATGTGCAACCACTCCTGAGGCCAGGAAAGCAGAGGCAAAAACAAACTACTGGGATCAGAACAGAATAAAAAGTTTCTGCACAGTGAGGGACGCCACCAAAAAAACTAAAAGGCAACCTTCATAATGGGAGAAGACATTTGCACGTGACACATCCAATAAAGGGGTAGTATCCAAAATATATAAAGAACTTATACAACTCAACACCCAAAAAACAAGCAACCCTATTTAAAAATGGGCAGAAGACATGTACAGACATTTCCCCATAGAAGACATGCAGATGGCCAGTGTACACATGAAAAGATACTCAACATCACTCATCATCACAGAAATACAAATTAAAACCATGATGAGACACCACCTCACACCTGTCAGAATAGCTATAAGAAATAACAGGTGTTTTTGAGGGTGGGTTGGGGAACCTTCTTGCACTGTCAGTGGGAATGTAAACTGGTGAAGCCACCCTGGAAAACAGTGTGGAGCTTCCTCAAAAAGTTAAAAATAATAATCGCACTACTGAGTATTTACTCAAGAATACAAAAACACTGATTCGAAAGGACACACGTGTCCCTATGTTGATGCAGATTTTTCTACAAGAGCCAAATTATAGAAGCAGTCCAAGTGTTCATTGACTGATGAGTGGATAAAGAAGATGTGGCGTGTATACATACAATGGAATATTATTCGGCCATAGAAAGAATGAAATCTTGTCTTTTGCAATAACATGGATGGATCTAGAGAGTAAATGCTAAGCGAAATAAGTCAGAAAAAGACAAATACCATGTGATTGCTCTCAACAAACAAAACAAATGAGCAAAGGGGGGAAAATGAGGGAGACAAACCAAGAAAGACTCAGCTCCAGAGAACACACCAATGGTCACCAGACAGGAGGTGGGGGATGGAGAAGTAGGAGATGGGGATGAAGGAGCACACCTGTTGGGCTGAGCACCGTGTGGGATTTAAAAAAGAGAACACAGAGAACATTTTAAAAAGGCTACCAAGCTGGTAAGAATAGTGATGGTGATAATAATAGAAATATTAACAACAACAAGAAAATAATAAAAAAATTTAATAAATACGATTTAAAAAGAGATAGCCAGCCTGATTTTTTAAATACACAAAAGATGTGAGCAAGCACCTCACAAAAGACGCTCAAATGACTGATCAGCATCTGAAGCAACAGTCGACACCACTGGCGTCAGAGAAATGCAAACGAAGACCGCGATAAAGTGACCAAGGAGAGGAAACTCAGAAGGCTGGCAGCGGCAAGGCCGTCTGCCTCGTGCAGGAAGTGGAGCCCACGCTCAATGCTCTTGGCATCTGGATACGTAGAGCCACTTTGGAAAATGTTCACACACCGGGGGTAACCCAGCTGCTCGCCCACATCGGGAGGGCAAAGTCTGCGGTGCGGATAGCGTGAAAGCCTGCACGGCAGCAGAGAGGCCTGCCCCACGCACCGGTGTGGATGAACCCCAGACTTCATGTCAGGCTCCAGTCACAAAGGAGAGAGCACAGACCGTGAGAGTCCATGAACGTGACGTTCCACAAGGAGACGGGTTAAGGCGCAGCAATCAGGTGCGACCTCTGTGGGGTCTCTGCCTGGGAAGGGTTCCTGGGGGCCCGAAGGGGCTGCAGATGCTTTTCCTCCCGAGCTGCTGGCGGTGTCACCAGGCGGGCACGTGTGAGAAGTGGTCCAGCCGGGCAGACGCCAGCACGCAGCCCACCCGGTACTGTACTCACGTGTCGATCAGAAAGAGAAGAAAACACTTGATTGATCCAAAGAAGCGAAGAAGGAAGAAGAAGGAATAAAAGAGCGACAGTGTCCCTGGGGGGTGGGGGCTCCGGGCAGACCCTCCGCAGAGCCGGTCCTGCCCTGCTGCAGGGCTGCCCGGGGCGCCTCTGCCCCCGCTCCTCTGCTGGCCGCTGCAAAGGCGGGGGAAGGACTCAGCCTTTGGACTCCCACGCGGTAGGGAGCCCTGAAGGCCGCGGAGGGTCAGGGGGGCCGGGCCAAGCAAGCGTCCTGCGGCTCCTGACTGCCCAGAGCCCATTGTGGGGTTCGAATGAGGTAAAAGACAAGAACCGTGTGGAAGGTGCTTTAGGCCATGTTACCCAAAGGTGTCCCCAAGGAGTGTCATCCTTTTATGAGCCAACAGGGACTTGGTGAGATCTGGGTACCCCAACACGTCGACAGGCGCCCCAGCCCCCGGACAGGCACTTCAGGCAGCCTTGACAGCTCCTGCCCCCCCGCCCCCCACGCCCCGTGGGCCCACGGCCACCTCACTACCCGCACGCGGCGCATCTTACTGAACGAGGGAGTAGTACTGCTGCGTCAGGTCCTTCCACTCGTCCTCCGTGAGGCCCCGGCCGGCGTCCCTGGAGCCGTCGATGTCCCTGTGCTCCCGCTGCCCCAGGTAGGCCTGGCACGCCTTGCACGCGGTGTCCACTAGCTCCCCGGGGAGGCCCGTGGGCTTGGATTCCGCATTCTCGGGACCTGCAACCCAAACACAGCCTCGTGGAATGGGGACCGCCTGCGGCACCGGACACGGCCGCCCCGGCCCCGCCAGCCCGGGCGCCACGCCTGCCTCCGGCCAGGTGCCTTCCCGGCCCTCCACCCTGCAACCGCACGCGGCACCCGTGAACGCGACACAACCTCCTGACTTGCCACAAGAGCCCCACTTCTCTGAGCCCACGCGGTAACTCCTTGGCCAGCAGTCCTGCTTGATGCCCGGAGGCCGCTGCGGGCTTGGCGGCACCTGTGGCCGCCTCTTACCCAGCACCCCTCTCTCCCGGAACCCCAGAGTCGAGCTGGACCCGCGGGGCTCAGGAAGCAGGGAGTTGCCCCGGCAAGGCGAAAGCGACCCGAGAGGCCCCCAGCCGCGGGCCCAGAGGGAGAGCGAGTGACAGCCAGCAGCTGTCTGTGCGCTCGCGGGGAAGGAGCCTGAAGAAAGGCCAACCCGGGAACCCGGAGGTTCGTGAGGACAAAAGCAGCTCCACAAACTGGGGTGGGGTGGGCGTGGGGGGGTGGAGGCCCCGCAGACCCAGCGGACCCCCGACCCCCGACCGGGCCCGGGACAAAGTGCGCGTTCACATGGTGCTACGGGGATTACAACATGCGTTTTTAACCTGCACCGCGGTGAAATGCACAGAACACAAAAACAACCATTTTAAAGTGAAAAATTACTCTTCTGTTTTCTGATCAGGAGCCTGGATGTTGTCTACCGTCCCAACAACAGGTAAAAAGCTGACCTGAAAAGTCAACAACTCTGCTGCTTCCGAGCTGAGGTCGCCAGACAAAGCGCTGCCCCTAAGCTGCAGAGAAAGTGAGGCGGACACAGCGAATCCACCTCCCCGGGGCACGGACCCTCCGACCCCAACACCCGGACAGGAAAACCTGAACTGTAATAGACGAACTGCTGCAGGCTCCGTGTGGGCACATCTGACAGTTAAAAATTCCGGACGATCTGGCTTGGGGGCCCCACGCTTTCCTCAGTCTTACCTCTGGGAACTTGACCTGGTTTTCACAGTGAGTGTGGGAGAAAAACCCCTCCTGCTTCTGGCAAGGAAAGGGAAAAGGGACCATCTTGCAGCTTGCCAGACCATTCTGTTCTTAGTGAGGCCCGCCCGCAGGAGAACTAGCTACCCAGAGCCTGACTTACGGGGCGGGGGGGGAACCCAACTCCAGCCCCCGCGGGCCCTCTGTCCCGCCAAAGGGGGTAAAACTGAGAAGCACTAGTGACGTTCACAGTCCGGGGGCATAGGCTCATTAAAGACTGAGACCTAATCATAACACACTTTATCAGACAAAATTTTTTTAAAAATTTGAGGAAAAAACTGAGGAAAATTGAGATCTGCCAAGAAATGTCAAGTGTTTCAGAGAGAAGGAAAAGAATATACGTCAGGTCCACATCAGGAAAGGAAGAGGGTTAGAGAAGGAATAAAGGTAAAATAAAAACTTTTATTTTTCTTATTCTTGGTATTTAGTTTTTCTTATTCTTATTTTTATTCTTATTTTTAATAAGATTATTTTTATAATTCTTGGGGTGCCCAGGTGGCTCAGTCACTTCAACGTCAGACTCTTGATTTTGGCTCAGGTCATGATCAGGTCAAGGGATAGAGCCCTGGAGATCAGGCTCTGCGCTGAAGGTGAGGAGCCTGCTTCAGATTCTGTGTCTCCCTCTCTCTCTGCCCCTCTCCCGGTCGCTCTCTATCTCTTTCTCTCTCAAAATAAAGAAACGTTTTCTTAAAACAAGAAGACATCATTTTAGATATGGACATTAATGTCTCATGGACATTAAAAAGATAGTAAGGAAATACTATGCACTCTCTGCACACAAATTTGATAATCTAGAAGAAATGGACCAATGTACTGAAAGATACAACCTGTCAAAATTCACACAAAAAGAAATAGATGATCTGAATAGGCCTATATCTATCAAAGAATTTGAGTCAACAATTAAATTAATTTGAGTCTTCCTTCTAAAACAGAAAGCACCAGTGAATCCAAATGGGTTCACTGATGAATTCTATCAAACATTTAAAGAAGAAATTATAGGGGCGCCTGGGTGGCTTAGTCGGTTAGGCGTCCGACTTTCGCTTAGGTCATGATCTCGCGGTTCGTGGGTTCGGGCCCCGCGTAGGGCTCTGTGCTGACTGCCAGCTCAGGGTCTGGAGCTTGTTTCGGAGTCTGTGTCTCCCTCTCTCTCTGACCCTTCCCTTCTCACGCTGTCTCTCTCTCTCGCCTAGAAATAAATAAAACATTAAAAAAAAATTTTAAAAAAGAAATTATAGTGATTCTCTATAATCTCAGTAGATAGAAACAGGGAATACTTCCTTCCTCGTTTTATGAAGCTACCTCTACCCTTTACCCAAACCAGAGAAAGACATGAGGAAACTGTAGACCAAAATCTCATGAATAATAATGCAAAAATGCTCACCAAAATATTATCAAGTCAAATCCAACAATGTATAAAAAGAATTATACACCATGATCAAATAGGATTTATCTCAGGTATGCAAAACTGGTTCAACATTTGAAAATCAATTAATGTAATTTATGACACATCAAAAGGCTAAAGAAGAAAACTTACATGATCATACCAATGAAAAAGCATTTGACACAATTCAACTCTCATTCGTGATAAAAGCTCTCAGCAAGCTAGGAATAGAGAGGAACTTTCTCAACTTGATAAAGAATATATACAAAAACCCCCTGGAGCTAATATTATACTTAATGTTGAGAAACAAGAAATTTACACTCTAAAATCAAGTGCGAGGCAAGGACCTCTTCCCTCTTGCCACCATTTTTCCAACATCATATTGGAAATCCCAGCTAATGCAGTAAGACAAGAAAATAAAAGGTATATAGATTGAGTAGGAAATAAAGGTGTCTTTATTCATACATGACATGATATCTATGTAGAAAATCTGAAAGAAATCAACAAAAAACTCCTAGGACTAATAAGTGATTACAGTCACTTTCCTATATACCAGAAATGAATTATTAGAATTTGAATTAAAAACACAATACCATTTACATTACCACACAAGAAAATTAAATGAATACATAAATAAATCTAACAAAATATGTTCAAGATCTATATGAAGAAAACTACAAAACTCTGATAAATGAAATCAAAGAAGAATGAAATTAATAGTGAGATACTTCATGTTCGTGACTAGGAAAGATTCATTGTTAAGATGTCAGTTCTTGGGGCACCTGGGTGGCTTGGCTGGTTAAGCATCCAACTCTTGATTTCGGCTCAGGTCATGATCTCACGGTTTGTGGGATCAGGCTCGTGTCAGGCTCTCCCTCTCTCTCTGCTCCTCCCCCACTCGTGCTGTCTCTGTCTCCCTCAAGATAAATGAATAAACTTAAAAAAAGGATGTCAGTTCTTCCTGCTCAATCTATAAATTCAATACAATCCCAATCAAAATCCCAGCAAGGCACTTTATGGATATTGACAAGTTGATTCTAAAGTTTATATGGAGAGGCAAAAGATGCAGACTAGCCAACCCAATATTGAAAGAGAAGAACAAATTGGAGAATTGACACTATTCAACTTCAAGTCTGACCACAAATCTATGTAATCAAGACAGTGCGGTATTGGTGAAATAATACACAAACAGATCACTGGAACAGAATAAAGAGCCCAGAAATAGACCCACAAAAATACGGTCAACTGATCCATGACAAAGGAGCAAAGGCAATACAATGGAAAAAAGTGGTCTTTTCAACAAATTGTGCTGGAACTGGTGCAAAAAAGTGCACACACAAAAGAATTTAAATAAAGATTTTACACCTTTCATAGAAATTAACTCAAAATGGATCATACACCCAAGTGTGAAACGCAAAACCACAAAATTCCTAGAAGACAACATGGGAAAACGCCAAGATGAACCTGGGTGCGGCGATAAGGTTTTAGACATAAATCCCAAAATCCCATAAATCCCAAAGCCATAGTCTATGAAAGAAATACTTGATAAACTGGACTTAATGCTGTCAAGAGGATGAGAACATAATCCATGGGCTTGGAGAAAATATTTGCAAAAGACACATCTCATAAAGGGCTGTTATGCAAAACACACACACACACACACACACACACACACCCTCTTAAACCTCAACAATAACAAATTTTCAAATGATAGGGAAGCTGATCAGATTTCCCATCAAAGAATGTATTTACAGATGGCAGAGAAGTATATTAAAAGATGCTCAGGATGCCTGGGTGGCTCAGTCGGTTGAGAGTCTGACTCTTGATTTCAGCTCAGGTCATGGTCCCAGGGTCATGGGATACAGCCCCATGTCAGGATCCACACTGAGCGTGGAGCCTGCTTCAGATTCCCTCTCTCCCTCCCTCTGCCCATCTCTCCCCCACTCATGCTCTCTCTCTCAAAACTGAAATTAATTAATTACTTAACTAATTAAAATAAAAAGAATTGCTTTAAAAAATAAAATAGAGGCTCCTGGGGTGGCTCAGTTGGTTGAGCATCCGACTCCTGATTTGGGCTCAGGTCATGATCCCTGGGTTGTGGGATCGAGCCCCATGCAGGGCTCCGTAATGAGCATGGGGCCTGCTTAACGTTCTCCCTCCCCCTCTGCCCATCTTCCCTGCTTTCTCTCTCTAAGAAATAAGAAAAAATTTTAAAGATATCCTCTCTCTCTCCCTCTCTCTCCCTCTGCCCAACTGATACACTCTCTCTCTAAAAATATGTAAATAAATAAATAATAAAATACATACATACATAAAAATAGTGTATTTTAAAAAGTAAACGAAATAAAAGGTGCCCAACACCATGCGTCACTGGGTGCGTGCAGATGAAAACAGCAGGTGACGCCACACACCTCTCGGAGGGGCCCGGATCCGGAGCGCTGGCCGCGTGGTGCGGCCACGTTGGGGGACAGCTTGGCCGTGTCCTACCAAACTAAACATACTCTTACCATCGGATCCAGCATTCATGCTCTTTGGTAGTTAGCCAAAAGAACTGAAAACTTACAGCTATACAAGAACCTGTGCATATGGCAGCTTTACTCATAATTGCCCACGCTTGGAAGAGCCACCGTGTCCCTCAGCAGTGGCTGGACGAGCAGGCCACGCGGCGGGCCGTCCGGACGGTGGAGTATTACTTGGCGCAAACGGGAAGTGAGCCATGAAAGGCTGGAGGACCTTAAATGTGCATCACTGAGTGCAAGCGGCCAACCAGAAAAGGGTGTATGATTTCAGCCGTATGACACCTGGGGAGGCAGAAGGAAGGCCGCAGTGAAAGGACCAGTGGTGGCCGGGGTGGGGACGGCGGGACGGCGAGGCAGGCGCGGGGCCGTCAGGGCAGGGGGCACTGTGTCCCATGCCACCGTGAGGGACCCACACCGCGTACAGGACGGCACCTCAGTACAAACTGCGAGATAGCCACGTGTGCATAGGGCGTTGTCGTAACAAAGGCACCAGCTGGTGGGGACGCTGGCGGTAGAGGAGGCTGGGCGGGGGGGGGGGGGGGGGGGGGGGGGGGGGGGGGGCGGCTATGGGAAATCCCTGCACCTTCTGCTCAAGTTCACTGTGAACCGAAAGCTGCTCTATCGAAGCGAACAACAACCACACTTATTCGGGTGTCGCAGGCCTAACACCGCGGTGGCTCCGCACCACGCGGGGAAGCCACTCCCCATCACCCTCTTCTGCGGGAGGGACGCCCCCGTTCCGGACGCGCGGCCCACTGCCCCCCTGCGCTGTTCTCCTCACACGCTGCAGCCCGGGCCCCCCACACCTTTCCTGCTGCCGGGGCCGCTGCCGCCGGCCTCCCCGCTGCGGCCGGGTCCGCTGCTGCTGCAGGACTTCTGGTGGCTGACCACCCACTTGAGGACGCTGGAGGCCACCGTCCGCCGGAAGTCATCTGAAAGGACACCCAGGCCTCGCCCCTCTGCCGGCACCAGGGGCCAGGGACCTCGGCCAGCACCAGCCGTCCTCAGCCCAGGCGCCCTGCGAGCCGCACCTCCTGCCCTCGCCGCCTTCGAGGGCGCCGTTCCCTCCTCCCCGGCCTCCCGGGGGCCCTGTCAACAGAACCCGCGCACCCCTCCCTGCCCCTCTGCTACTCACCCCACCCCCACCCAGGGCCACAGGGCATGGACACCTGCGCCACCTCTCCCGCCCCCATGTCCTCAGCCCTGAACCAGAGGACAGAAGACTCCGCAGACACACTAGGACCCTGCCCATCCCAGGAGCTCTCTGGGCCTCCCTGGGCACGCCGGCCCCCACAGCTCCTGGCATGCAAGGGCCGGGGGGCTGCGCGCAGAGGGCAGCTCTGCACGCCACAGACCCAGGCTTGGGGCTGGACCGGCTCTGAGCGCTGTCTCGTGCTAGGAGAGGCGGCCGGCACCGCCGTGAGCGAGTCCCGGCTCACTTCCAAGCCCGCAGGGAGGTCCGCAAGGGATTCCCACGCCTTCTCACCAAAACCTGCCCCTTCCTCATCGCAGAGGAAGCTGCCCCCCACCCCCACCCCTGCCTGGCAGCGCTGCCACCTGGGAAACATCTGGAACCTGAGCTCCCTTCCCAGCTACCCCCAGGGCCCAGTGTCTCTCCTGAGCCTCCTCTGTCCACCAGAACAAACACCCTGAGCTTGCCCGCTGACATCTAGCCCCTCTGCCCGTGGACACGCGGGCACACTGCCTGCTCCAGCCCGGTCCCGGTCCGGGGCTCCCGCCCCCTGGGTCTGTGCCCGGTGCCCCCTCTCTGGGAGGCCCCTGCTCACCACCCCCTCCTCGCCTGCACGTCTCACCTCCAGCCCCCTCGGAGCTGCCTTGTCCTGCCTGCAGCCGTCTGCCCCCGGGAGCCCCGGGGTGGGGTCGGCCGCAGGGCAGGGCTGCTGGCAGTGCCGCTTCACGGCCCCCAGACCTGTGCTCAGGAAATCGAGGCGCCCCCAGACGGGCAGTGCTCACCTGCCCTGGCCTTCACCTTCTCTCTCCTGTCTTGGCAGGTCAATCCAGGAATCCTCCCAGTGTCCCCAGGCCAGAGCCGGTGGCCCACAGGACCAGCCCCACGCCAGCCTCTTCCAGGAGCCCAGTCAGAACCCAGCCGCTGATATGTGGCCCACAGTCTCCGTCAGCCCCCAGCTCCAGCCTGGCAGCTGCCGCCCACGGAAGCGTCTGGACCAGCCCTCACCACGTGACACAGAGCTGAGCCCCTGGGTCACGTGACACAGAGGGGAGCCCCTGGGTCTTGGGACGGGCCAGCCCACCTCCCTTCCAGAGGCTTCTGCAGCCACCTCGGTGAGGAGGTGGGCCACAGAGGGGCCCCGGCCGCCTGACGCCACTGACTTACCCAGGAATTCTTGCTTCTCGCTCTCGGTGCAGAGGCCGTAGCAGCGTGGGAAGAAGGAGTCAGGGTTGGCCTGGACGTACCACGGCAGGTTCCGCATGTTCACACACAGCCCGATCTCCGGAGACAGTGGCACGTCAGGCCGCCGCAGGCCGAGCGCTGGTCCACTCAGACCAGCCTGAGCGCCCACGGGCCCGGCTGGCAGCACCAGCTCCAAGAGGCTCTTGGGGGGGCGGGGGGCGGGGGCACCTGGAGCAGACCACTCCCCTCCCCCAGTCCCTCCTGGCCCTGGCCAGCTGGTTCAGACAGCAGGGTGACCCGATATGCAGGCCAGGGTCACCTGAGGACGGGGTGGAGGGTCCTAGGTCCTGCATTCACCTCCGGGGCCCCTAGATGGTGCTGGGCCCAGGCCCCAGGAAGGAGGGAGCGAGCTCATGGGCACACTCACGGCTGGCCCCGCAAAAGTAATGCTGGTCATTAGACAGGCCTGCAGGCCGTCCTGCACCCCAGGGCCTAGCACCCCAGGGCCCAGCTCACTGCCCCATCGGGAACAAAGTACAAAAGGCTGGAAGATGCAGTGCCCGCTGGCTGCTGGGCACGCTAGTGGCCACTCAGCCAGGGGCCCTCTGTGGGGTTCCTGGCCTGGCCGGGCCACCTGCAGGCACGGCCCACACCCCAAAAGAGGTCAGCAGCGGAGGCCTGGAGAGGAGGTATGGGGCCAGATCCCCACAGGGAGCCCTGGTGCCAGCGCCAGCCTCATCCCTACCCTCCGTGCCATCCCTGCTGCCAGGAAGCCCTCTACGCAGCCTTCCCTGGGAGGGCGCACACAGGCCTGTCCACCCTGGGCCAACCCCGCTCCTGAGCCTCAGCCCTGGAGTAACAGGCACGGGACCATGGGACGGACAGGGGGTGGCAGGAGGTGCCGGAGGCCCCAGGGAAGGGCCGGTGGCCTGGCTCTCCCTGAGACCCCGAGCCCCTCCAGGGTGCAGAGCCCAGGCCGGGCCGTGGGGGCAGCCCCCACCTGCCCCGCCTGGGGTTTGGCCCGTGAGCCCAGAGGAGGGGCACCTGGGGCCCTGGGAGCACCAGCGGGACAGGTGCTGAGGGCCTCTGGACACCGATACCGCGTCCTGGGGTCCCCGACCAGGCAGCAGACCTGGAGAAGGGCCTCCGGTGCACCTGCGGGCCCCCCAGCCCAGGGCCCCTGGAGCCTCAGGAGGCACGGCGCTGCTCCCCTCCCGCCCTGAGCAACGCCCCTGCCCGGGCCCTCCCGCTCACCTTGGTGGTGAAGGAAGCCGTCTTCCCAAAGTGGTTCAGCACCTGGTCACAGTTCAGGCTGTGATAGTCAATGACGTCCCTTTTGATGGTCCAGAGGAAGTACGGCATTTCATTTTTTACCAACCTGGACTGGCAAGAAAAAACAAAACAACGCTCATCAATACCCAACATTCAAGGTTCATATCTTTTTTTTTTAATGTTTTATTTATTTTTGAGAGAGAGACAGACAGAATATGAGGAGGGGAGGGGCAGAGAGAGAGGGGGACACAGAATCCGAAACAGACTCCAGGCTCTGAGCTGCCAGCACAGAACCTGACTCAGGGCTCGAACTCATGAACCGTGAGATCATGACCCAAGCATAAGTTGGACGCTTAACCGACTGAGCCACCCAGGTGCCCCGCAAGGTTCATATCTCTGGATGTTGGGGTATAAGTAAGAGTGAAGGAAATCAGATTTTAAATGACCCTTGAAGTGTGTACTCTGTGATTCTCCTCTGGGAGGCCGGAGAGACCTGCTCCTTGAGGGCCTACTGCGCACTGTGCTGGGAGCAACTATCAGCACGCTGGGGCTCTGCTCTTGAGAAGCAAGTTCGAGGCTCCGGCTTGTGGCTGCAGGGGCACCAAAAGTGTGTGGCTGAGTGAGGTCTGAGCTGCCTGCCTGTGGGTGCCCACGTGAGGTGTGGGGGTATGCCACACGTGCGCATGGGGTGAACGCTCTGCTTCCTGGCCTGGGAGACCGTGGGAGACGCCTCCTCTGCCCCTCCACCTCCTGGAGGGCAGGAGGCCAGGGCCATGGGAGCTAGACCCAGGGTGGCCTTGGCTCCTATGATTTTGTTTACAGACAAGAGCACATGTTTGGTCAAAATATCTTACCAAAGAGATACAAGGAAAGGAAAACGTTGTCCAAAATTCTGACGGCCTCAAGACCCTGCGGGGTCATTCTGTGCAGACCAGCATTTGAGGACACGCCTAACGTTCTGCAACACAGCCTGGCCTACCTCGACCCCATGTTCTGGGGGGCACTGGGTGCCCCCACCCCAGTGCCAGCGACAGCACCGGGAGGGAGCGGGGAGCTGGCCGGCAGCATCACTTCCTGAAACCCATCCCAGTGCTGGAAGCATGGCCTTCCCTCCTACTCCGAGGGACGGCTAGCTTTTGCTGCCACTTTCTGGCCCAAGTCCCATTTGTTCAAGTGTGGGACGGACGGTCTTAGCGGGGCCTGGGCCTCCAGGCGCCTCCCCAGTGTCCCCGAGCCAACGCTGCAGCTTCGTGGGCGCCTCGGCTCCGGGCCGCTTCCCGGTGTGTGTGTTCACTGCTCCCCTGTGAGCCCTGCACACGGGCTGGACCCAGCTCGCCCAGGGGCGAGGAGCGCGCGCTCCGCCCGGCCTCCGGGCTGCCCTCAGGGGCCTTGCAGGGACTCGGCGCCACCCCCGTGACCGCTGTCTTCCCGGAGGAGCTGTTGGGCGCGGCTACGTGTCTCTCCTCCCCCACATCAGGCGGCGCCCCTGCAACATCGCAGCAGGTGCACCGTCTCCCCAGCGCTGTCTCCAGGAGGGGCCGCTTCTTCTGCGCCCACCTTGCGGGTGACCCGGGTGAGGCCCCACGAGCCTGGCCCTGCTCTGGACCTCGACTCCGCCGCCCGCCTGCACAGCCCTGTGCGCACCATCGCGGCCTCACCCCGTGGCCTGTGTGCCCCGTCTGCTCCGGTCCTTTCCCACAGATTGTAGCCACAGCTTGTCTCCCGGCACACGCGTGCACACGTGGACACACGCGAGCGCGCGCAGTCCCCCTACCCCCCCTCGAGCGCGCGCGTGGATGCACACGCACGTGCGTGCCGCAGCGCCTGCCGGGCCTTGTCGCCTCTCCCCCGGACACAAACTGAGAGTGTGAGGAGTGGGGGGCACCTACCATCACATCGTGGATGTCGTCTGTCTTCTCCAGAGCCGTTTCTTGGCCTTCTTTGCCTTCAGCACGTTTACATTCTGCAAACACAACACGGGAGTCAGCGCGGCAGGGCCCCGCGGCCACAGAGCCGACCCCTCAGCAACCTTCGCGGGGCTCGGGCCACATCTGCCAGTCCGAGCGTCAGCCGTACGGCCCCTCCGCTGGGCCGGGACAGTGTCAGGATGTGGGACCCGGGGCAGCCGGCCTTGGGACGCGCGTGGCGGAGCATCGGGCGCGGGCAGCCGGCCTGCGTAGCGTAGACCCCAAGGGCCTGAGGGTGCCCCCGCGGTCTGCGGAGCGGGAGGCGGGGCCTCGGCGGGCTGGGGGCGGGGCCTCGGCGGGGCGGGAAGCGGGGCCTCTGTGGGGCGGGGCCTCGGCGGGGCGGGAGGCGGGGCCTCTGTGGGGCGGGGCCTCGGCGGGGCGGGAGGCGGGGCCTCGGCGGGGCGGGGCCTCGGCGGGGCGGGAGGCGGGGCGGGCCCTCGGCGGGGCGGGGGGCGGGGCGGGGCCTCGGCGGGGCGGNGGCGGGGCGGGAGGCGGGGCGGGGCCTCGGCGGGGCGGGAGGCGGGGCCTCGGCGGGGCGGGGCCTCGGCGGGGCGGGCCGAGAGGCCGGAGGAGGCCCGCTGAAGGGCGGCGGAGGAGGCCTGGCGTGGGCAGTGAGACACTGAGAAGCACCGGACCAGACCCTGAGAGCACAGGGCACAGTGCGTGGTCACCTGCCAAAGGCCGGCCGGGAGGGCGGCCGGGACACACGGGGCAGAGGCCCGGTGGCAGGCCCTGTGGCGGGAACAGCACCCGCTGCCGTGTGACTCGCTCCGGCCCCTGACAACACACACACACGCCTCGCGCAGGGACAAGACGCTCTCGATACTCTACCCGTCACCCCCGCACTGTCATCGTCCACATTCGGGAGGAACTTGGGGAGAAAGTGGAACTTCTTCTCCACCCAACCCTTTCTTCGAAGGGCGGCCCGTATCACTGGGTAGTGCCCATAGATGGAGAAAATCTTCTTTTCCTGAAATTGCAAGAGCATATTTTAAATTAAAGGATTGAAAGACAAGGCGGCAAATTCTCTACGAGAAGAGCCTTCAGAACAGGTGGGACACACAGCCTGAGCCAGTGGGCGGGGTGACACTCACGTCCTGCTCCACGGAAAACACCCGGAAGCACACAGAGGCATGGGGCCGGGCCCTCCGCGTGTGTGTCCATTCGTGGGCCTTGCACACACTGGCCTCACGTGCACAAAGGCCCAGCACAGGCGGGACCAGGGGCATGTCCCCAGCTCGGGGTGGGTCCGGGTCTGGGAGCTGGGCCTGGGGCGACAGGGCCTGGGGTGCATACTACACTCTCTCTTCTCTACGAGGCCAACGGTCCCTTATGCTTGGGGGGAGGGGATGGTGCCCGAGGTTTGAGGAGGGAGGAGAGGGAGGAGCTGTTCAACCACCCAGGAAGGGCCCGAGGGACAGGAGGGCCGGCACCAGGGAGGCTGGGGACTCCTCCGGTCACTGTGGGAATGAACGCAGATGCCTGGGCACCGGCAGGGAGACGGCAGACGGTGGAAGGTACCGAGGCCTTCCCAGCTGGGCGACGGGAGAGTGATGGTCATGCTGGAGCCCCTGGGGCCCATGCTGCTGAGGACACAGCCTGGACACATGCACCAGGTAGGGTCACAGAGGGTGACAGCCGCAGGGCAGTCAGGAATCAGGTGTGGAGTCGGCAGTGAGCTTAGGGCCTCATGAGTTTGTGGGAGCAGGCAGAGAGTGCCGGGTGGGAGGGCAAGCGGCTCAGCCTCACTGCTATTCCTAATTAGCTGACTTTGAATTAATCAAAAGACAGACTATCCTGGGTGGGCCTGACCTAATCAGATGCACCTCTTAAAAAGGGGTCCAGAGCTTCCCTGAAGTCGGAGATTCAAAGTGGGAGAGACCTTCTTCCCGTTGCTGGCTTTGAAGAAGCCAGCTCTATAGCCACAAGAGAATGAATCCTGGCAATAAGCCAAGAGAGTCTGGAAGTGGATCTTCTTCAGTTGAGCCTCCAGATCAGACCCCGGCCCAGCTGATGTCTCATTTCAGCCTTGAGAGACCCTGAGCAGAGGGTCTAACCCCACAGAAGCTGTGAGGTAATAAACGTTTAAGTAGCTAAGTTCACAGTGACTTGTTACACAGCCCTGATAGCTAACACATCCTATAGTTCCCACAAGGAAGACCCGCACACCCACACCCAGGAACACAGATAATAAGGCAGACGCCTGGGGCTAGAAGCCGTGAGTTCAAGTTCCAGCATCCACATGACAGAGCCTCCTTCTACTCGGGAAATGTGTCCAAAGCCGCCTACAGGGCTGCACACCCGGACAGAGGGATGTGGACGCACGTGGCCACGGGGGGGGGGGGGGCTGCTCCGATGGAGAGGCGGGCAGGAAACCAGCAAGAGCGCCAGCACCCGGGGCCCCAGCAAGGCCTCCTGGCCACCCCGACACCCGGCTTGCTTGTAGTCAAATTGAACAACTTTAGAAAAGCTGACTAATTTTAGTCGACATAATATAGCTCCTCGGGGAACGACAAAAGGAAGAAAAACAGAGTACAAGACGCGTAACGGGTAAGAGAGGGGAAGTGGGATCTTAAAAGCCATTGGTCCACAAAGAGGCACAAAATGAGGGGGAGCTGGCAGCCAGGACAAATGGAGTGAGTGAAGGAGACAGGGACACGTGGGGGCCCCTGAGGACAGCAGGGCCCAGTTCGAGACGAACGCAGCAAAGGCCCCAGGCTGGATTTTTAAAATCTCAATCTGTGCTGTTTACAAGAGAAAATCAAAAGCCTGAGCCTACAGACAGGTAGAACATGAAAGGATCTGAGACAAAATATCCTTTGGGACAAACAAACCACTGAAGTAAAGAAAATCATCCCATAATTTACCAAAGATTCAGCTCACCAGGAAGGTACCCAGGGGCTCTGATGGCAGACAGTCCCACACAGTGAAGGACCCCACGGTGATAACAGGGTGTTTACAGGCTTCTCTCTCGGTAAATGACAGAAGACACAGACCACAGATTTCAATAAGACTCAAAGATCTGAGCACATAACCATCTCAGCCCTGACGGCTCTGAATGGAGAGCTCCGCGTCGGCTCTCACATAAACACACAACGCTGGGCGCACAGCAAGTCGGAGCACACTTCACCGGAAGAGCATTGTGCAGATTACGTTCTCAACCACAGCGCACTCAAGCTAGAAATCAGGAACAAAATAGACAGAAAAGCCTCACAAGACAGGACATTAACTAGTCTTTTAAGTAACCCACAATCAAGGAAAAGGAATACTACAGGGTGTAAAATACCTTGAGCCACATCTCAACAGAAGTATTAGAAAAGCTTGTGAAATCAGGGCGCCTGACTGAGCGTCGGACTTCGGCTCAGGTCATGATCTTGCGGTTTGTAAGTTCCAGCCTCACAACAGGCTCGCTGCTGTCAGCATGGAGCCCGGAGCCTGCTTCAGATCCTCTGTCTCCTCTCTCTCTACCCCTCCTCTGCTTGCACTCTCTCAAAAATAAACATTTAAAAAAAAAAAAAAGCTTGTGAAATCAGCTAACACAATACTTAGAGGGCTGTTGTAGCCCTAAATGTTCACACGTTTTTAGGCTTCAGTAGAAAACCTGAAAATGAATTAGCTGCTATGGCTCCACTGGTATGAAATCCCAGAGAGCACAGCCAGGGGCCCCCAGGGCCGGCCGGGGACAGGCTCCCCGTCACAGTGCAGTGGGTGGTCTGGCCGGGCACACGTGTGCACCAGCTGGTCGCACGCAGGTCATGTGTTCCCACTTCGGAAGCACGTTTTGTGTATGATGTCCTGAACTTCTCAGAGCTCCTATGCGCCGCCTTCTGAGCAAGGGCGCCCCATGCAGGGCAAAGCCAGAGGACAAGAGAACTTTTCCCCAGCCAAGGCAGTCCTCTGCTCCCCCCGCCCCCAGAAGTACTTTTCTTAATCCGCTCCCCCTGGGGGCCAGAGCCCGGTGTCCAGGGCACAACTAGGGCTGGTGGAGGTGTGGGCAGCAGGGGTGCTGAGGGGGTCAAAGGCAACCCACTCCCTCTCCAAATTCCAAAATAAGTTTCCTCATTTAAAAAGTGCCCCCACCTTGGGGCGCTCGGCTGGCTCAGTCCCAAGAGCATGAGCCTCTTGATTTTAGCGTGGTGAGTGCAAGCCCCACACTGGGTGCAGAGATTACTTAAATAAACAAAATTTTAAAAACTGGTGCCCCTCAAGCACCAAAGGCCATTTACCTTGATGGCCTTTTCCGTTAATTGTCTTGCTATTTTGTATCTGTCTATTTTGGGAGAAGGAATCAAGTCTCGGGAAATTCCACGTTTTAATTCTGCAGAAGAGAAACAGGCATCAAGGCAAAGGTAAAAGCACACAAGTGACGCTTGGGAGGAGCCCTAATCACAGAAGCCCAGCCCCCGCCCCGTCGCCCTCCTCCAGGCCCACCCCCACCTCTGGTCCCCTCATCCCCATTGCCCTGCCCACCCCCACCGCTGGCACCCCCACCCCTGTTGCCCTGGCCACTCCCTCCGCTGCCCCCCCACTCCAGGCCCACCCCCACCTCTGGCCTCCAGACCCTCCTCCTGCAATTCCTCAGCCCCTCCCCCAGCTGCATTCCCTGGCAGCTCTGGCTGGGGCACCCTCCCCTTCTGGAGACCATGACCGCCCCCCCCACCAAGGCTGTCCGACCAACCCTCCCTTCCATCAGCCCCTCCCTGCTCCTGTCCCTCACTTTGGCCTCCAGACTCCCATCAGCACGCACCAAGTTGTAATGCAAACACCTTAAAAATTAAAATGAAAACCTTCCTCTCTGTAGCCCACAGCCCTGCACTCTCCTGCCTTCAACCTCCCTCCACACCCTCCCCGGCTGGGCCCCACCACGGTCACAGCTTATGCTAAAGTCACACACACACAAGCTGGCCCCATGACCGCTCCTCGCTGGGGCCCCTTCTCCCTCCAGGCCCTAAACTTGGACGTGTCCGGCCTAGTCCTCAGACTCCATGCTTTGCCGTCCCCACCCACTCCCAGGGCCATCGCATCCTGTGAGTGGTTTTAAATTCCAGCGTGCCCAGGCCGCTGGGATGTGCACCTTCCGCCCAGACCACCTGTGGGTGCCTGGATAGCCCAAGAGCATCACAGGGGGCAGGTGAGCAGACATCCACCCAGCCCTGCTCTTCGTGGGCCCACGCGGCCGGTCAGTACAGACGAAAGCCGCAGAGGCCTTCCGAGGGGCTGCCGCTCTAACACCCTCACGTCCACGTGGAGAGAACGAATCCGGCCCCACCCGACGACACACACAATTAATCTGAAGTCCATCACGGGCCTCAAAGCGAACGCTGGACACACGGCTCCTGGCGGAAAGCACCGCCCTTGGCCAGGTGAAAATCTCCGAGGGGCGCACAGAAAGTACTAACTGTAAAGGTTGAAACTGCTGAAATGAAAATGTTCTGGTTGGTTAAGAAAATGGGAAGATAGAAAGCACAGATCGGGGGGGAAATATTCACAATATGTCAATCGGACGAAGCTCAGCACAAAAGAATGACAATGAGCGGTTCCACGTGCGTGAAGTTCTGGAGCAGGATTAACCTGTGGAGACAAAAGCCAGAACAGGGGCGGGGCGGGGCGGGGCACGAGGAAACTGGCCGTGGCACCAGCGGTCCGACAGGGTTGCCTCGGAATGACGCCAGGCTCAGCAGAACGACAGACAAGAAACAGAAGCCACGGGCACCTGCCGTGCGGGTGAAGCGGCCAGGAGCTGACAGAAACGCGAGCCAAGGTCAGTGAGTCCCAAAATCTGCACAAAACAGCACCCGTGAGCACACACAGAGTCCCCACCGCAGAGCCGTCAAACACGCAAACTCCAGGACGCGGGGAGCGTGTGGTAAAATGGGCCGAGGGTCTGGTTTGTCCTTTAGCCACAGAGCAGTTAAGTGAGGAGTCAGGGATGGAACAGAAAGTCACAGAAAATTTAATACTCAGACCCTAATAACACACGTGTCAGAGAGGCTGAGGGGAAAGTGCTGCATAGTTCTGACCCAAAGGATAATTTAAATGCCAACTATCAAACCTCATGGGCTGTAGTTAAGTTGTATTTACAGACATTTTTAGCTGCAGATGAATATATTCAAAAATAATAAAAGCTAAAAAGAATGCGTTAAGGGCACCTCGGTGGTTCAGCCGGTTAAGCCTCTGACTTTGGTTCAGGTCATGATCTCATGGTTCATGATTTCGAGCCCCGAATGGGGCTCTGAGCTGACAGCTCGGAGCCAGGAGCCTGCTTCGGATTCTGTGTCTCCCTCTGTCTCTGCTCTTTCCCTTGCTTACGCTCTCTGTCTCTCTGTCTCTCTCTCAAAAATAAAATAAACACTAAAGAAAAGCTGTTTTGAATCCAAGAAAGAAGCTTAATCCAGCCAAAGATATAAGACGAATAAAATTAATAAACAATTGGTGAAATCGACTGATAAAAAAGAGAAAAGGCATGAAAATGTAACTTAAAACCTTCCCATAAGTGAAACTCCATTCATGGGTGAATGAATGGTACCCATCATTTTATCTTGTACAACTCATTTTGAGAGGAGAAAAAGCGTGGCCATGCCCTACTTGTTTTGTGAGGCCAGCGTGTTCCAGGAAAGTGTGACTTGAACACACAGATGACAATCATACACAAACGAGGAGCAAACTGCACCCAGTGATGTCAAGAAAAGTCCCTACTCCACGGCCACGTTGTGCCCTTCCAAGGCTGGATTACAAGAGCAAACATGGTGAAATTCACCCAATGAAGAGTCCAGAAAAGTCATAAATCCCATCTTAACAGACATAGAAGTGTCTTCACGAGCCCTAATTTCCATTTAGGCTGCAAATTCTCGGTGGACGAAGACACCCACAGTCAGCCTGGCAACGACCCTCCGTGGCACCTGCCTGTGGTTTCTAAGCGCCCTGGCCCCGAACCCAAGGGATCGGAGAGACCCGAGCTCCAGGAGACCTGGGATCCCCGGCCCAGGATGCCGGGCGCCCCAGCTGATCTCAGGGCATCTCGAGGCACTTACAGACGGGGATGGGGGGATGGCGAAGCTGTAGAAGCGGAACACGGGGTGGGGGGGGCGAGTGCGGACTGCTGGAGCACCGCAAAGTGTGATGGTGACTGGCCACAGTGCAGACACCCGGAAAGATTCTCAGAGGTGAGGAAGCCACACAAACAGGACCCTCACTTGAGGCCATCGGAGAGGCCTGGCATTCCAGCATCTTCCCTGGCAGCCCATAACTGCTGGGCACAAACAGGCACCTAAGCAGACCTTCCGGCAGGATCTGGACTTCACGGAGGCTAAGGGGACCCGCCCGAGAGTGAAGCGCTCTCTCACAGACCACAGCCCATCACGTAGTCAGTGTGGAGAAACGGCCATTCACGTGAGGGCCACCCAGGGCAGCTGGACCCGGGGGGATGGTGAGTGGGTTGCCAGAGCCGGGGCCGGGGTCACCGCAGCCTACGGCACCGTGGTGGTGGCCCTCCCACCCCCTGCGCAGACCTCCTGCCCTCAGGACCTTGCAGGCACTGACCCGGAAGAACTCTCCCATCAACCTACTGCGCCCAGTCCCACCTCAGAGGGACTCTCCAGGGAAGCCCCCCCCCACCCCACACAGGGGACGTGGACAGTCACCAGGTGCCACAGCACCACTGCTCCCGTGGCCACGGGGAATGCTGCTCTACAAGGGAGGGGTGCGGCCCGCACTGCTCCAGAGACCGGTGGCGGCACCGACGCCGGGGCAGCCAGACACGGTGGGCAAATCAGGGGCACAACGCCACCTCCGAAGGAGTCTTGGCAAAATACTCAACCCAAGCCTCATGAAGCCTCTAGAGCGCGTCCCCAGATCAAAAGGGCCACGCAGGAGACAGAGGCGGAGAGGAAACCACCGTGAGGCAGCAGCCGGGTAAGTCTTTAGGGCTTTCTGCAGAGCAAGAGGCTCTCCTCTTCTGTAAGTCTAGATCTTGAAAGCACAAGGCCAAGGAAGAGTAAAAGACAGCTGAGAGACAGGACCACCTAATGCAGTCATCGGCCCTTGACCAGATCCCGATTTCAACAGACCAGCTGGGGACTTGCTGGGAAAATACAAATATACTCTGGGCATTGGAGTTTATTAAGGAATTACTGTCCAACTTATCAAGTGGGAAAAAAGAGTTTAGTGATGCAAAAAATGTCATTTCTAGAGATACTCAGTAAATATTTAGATACATACTAATATTTACTCATAAACATTAACAAAAAATTAATAAAATCATTATTAAAGACAAAAGAGAGATGATCTATAATATCAAAAGGATCAATTTCTCAGGAAGAAATAAAAGTTCTAAATGTGCATGAACTTAATTTTATATAAAAATATAAGTAGACAAAGCTAAAAAAAAAAGGACATAGAAAATCCACAATCATACTGAGACATTTAACCTACTTCTCTCAGTAAATGAAAGATTAAACAAAGAATCAGTAGAATGCAGCAGATTTGAGCACCGTGATTAACCAGCCACACTTAAATGATGTACATATACACCTTATTCCACAACTTGACACATGTTTTCTTCACTTATGTGTCTTCCAATATAGATTACACCCTAGACTACAGAGTCTCAATAAATTTCAAAGGACTAAAATGATACTGATTAAGTTCTCTGGAACCTCTTAAATCAAACTAGAAATTAATAACAAAATATAACTAGGAATTGTCTTAAATGTTCAAAAGCTAAGTGGCCCACTTGAAAAATAAAACACAGATCAAAGGTGAAATCAAGTGAAAACTCAAAAATGATTTGAGTTGAATTATAGTAAAAATATGACATTTCAAATCATTTTAATGCAGCTAAAATAGGGATTAGAGGGAAATTTATAAATTTAAATTTATATATTAGAAAATAAATTGAATACTATCGAATCTACTATCCCAAGAGGCTAGCAAGAGAGCAATTAAACAAAAAGAAAGACAATAATAAAGAGCAGAATTCAATTAAACAAAAAACAAAGTGTCTTAGAGAAAATTAATAAACCACAAGTTGGATCTGTGAAACAATCTTTAAATTGATAAACATCTAAATAGCTCAAGAAAAAAGAAAACACAAATTATCAATATCAAGAATGAAAAAGGGGACATCGTTACTGATGGTACAGATATTAAAATGATAATAAGATACTATAAACATCACCGTGCCAATAATTCGACAGTTCATATGAAATAAACATTTTCCTTGAAAAATAAAGCATTATCTAACTGACATAAAATGGAAAATCCAGGTAGGCTTATTTTTGGTAAAGAAATTAACTCCATAATTGAAAAGTTTCCCACAGTGAAAAACTCCAGGTCTATATGGCCTCACAGGTCAATCTTTCCAAACAATTGGGGGTGAAATACCTTACATAAGCCGTTTCATTGAATAGGGAAATAGGAAACCCTTTCAACTCTTTTTAGGTGGTCAAAAATTTAATACCAAAACCTAACAAGGACATTACAAGAAAAGAATAGTACAGCCTATCTCATTCATAAAAGTAGGCATACAAGTCATAAACATTTGTTCATCAAATCGAGTGACATATAAAATACATGACCATGTGAAGATTATTCCAGGAATATAAAGTTGGTCTAATATTTGAAAATCCATCAACATAACCCACATTAATAGACTAAAAGAAAAAAAAATATATCACCAACTCAATAGATGCAGAAAGAAAGCATGTGATAAAATGTAAGAACTATTCATTTTATCACATGTAATAATTCTTCATTAAAAACTTCTCAGTAAGCCAAGAATAAAAGGGAACTTCCTTTAAAGCTTGTAGAAACATCACACTTCATGGTGAAATATTGAGCACTTTTCCCCTCAGTTTGGAAACAAAAACAAGATGTCCACTACGTTACTTCTATTCAACATTATACTGAAAGTACTAGCCAATGTAACAAAGCAAGAAAAGGAAATAAAAAGTATAAAGCCTGAAAAGATTTGTAGATGATGATTGTGTACCGAAGAAATCTAAATGAATCTACTGGCTATTAGAATTAGTAAGCAAAGTCACCAAATGCCAAGTCAGTATATCAGAGGTCACTGTATTTCTATATACTGGGAACAATTAGAAAATGAAACTTAATAATGTCATCCCTCAAAAACATCAAATATCTAGAAGTAAATCTAACTGAAGATTTCTTCCGTTCCTGTACCCTGACAACTACAAACACTATTGATAAGAATTAAAGAACTAAATGTTCTTGGATTGGAAGACTCAATAATGATAAAATGTTAATTTTCACCCAAATTGATCCATAGATCGATTCATTGTAACCAAAATTAAATCCTAGCAGGATTTGTGTGTGTGGAGGGGGGAGGGGTGCTAACAATTTAATTCTAAAATTTATATGGTGATGCAAAAGTCTCAGAAAACCTAAACAAGTCCTGGGCGGCTCAGTCGGTTAAGTGTCCGATTTTGGCTCAGGGCATGATCTCACAGTTCGTGGATTCGAGCCCCGTGTCGGGCTCTGTGCTGACAGCTCAGAGCCTGGAGCCTGCTTTGAATTCTGTGTCTCCCTCTCTCTCTCTGACCCTCTCCCGCTTGCTCTCTGTCTCTGTCTCGCAAAATAAAATAAAGACTAAAAAAAGGAAAGAAAAAAACCTAAACAAGACTTGAAGGATAAAGCCATACGATGAAATATGACTTCTTACGAAGCTACTGGAATTAACACAGGGTAGTATGGACTCAGGATAGGCAGAGAGGTCAGTAACACAGAATGGAGAACACAAAATAGGACTGTGTCTGATTTTCCACAAAGACGGCATTGCTTGCAGGGCACCTGCTGGGTCAGTCAGTCACGTGGGGGAAGAGTGACCACTCCCCGCTGGCCGCCACCTCACTCCATTCAGAACAGTGAATGTCTGTGAACTGCGGAGGTAAATGTGAAATGTAAGATCATAGAGTTTCTAAAGGAAAACATGGGATACTATTTTCTGCACAATGGAGTGGGTAGAGATTCCCTAGTAAGATTCCAGAACCACGGACTATGAAGAAAAGATTGACAATTACACTTCCTTACAATTAAGGGGTTCTTATTTTCAAAAGTAATCAAGTGGCTGAAAACACCAGCCCCAGATTCCAGAAGGTGCTTCTGTCTGTCTGGGAAAGAACTGGTCTGTATCCAGAGAAGACCAAGAATTCCCACAACTCAGGCCCACAACCCACTTGGATGGTGGCCAAAAGACGGGGACAGACACTCCACAAAAGGGCCGCAGATGGCAAGCGAGCACGTGAAAAGAGCTCAGCCTCGCGGGGGACAGTAATATCGAAGCCATGGCGAGGTGCCGTCACCCCCGCCCCCGCCCAGGGGCCGCGAGGGACAGGACGAGCCCCGGCTCCACACCTGGGCTAACACAGGGCTGAACAGGAGCCCAGCCTGCACCCCGCGACTCCACCCAGGGGCGCACGCGCAGGGGTTCACTCGTGCGGGCAAAGGGCCCCCACTCCTCCCCCGGGACGGCGTCTCCACGTGGGCGGTGCGCTTTGCGCCCGTTTCCCAAGAGGCGCTCCGAGGTGGGCCAGCCTGGAGCGCAGCAGGGGTGGAGGGCGGGGGCGGAGGAGGGTGCTGGGGCGGTTGGTCCGCGCACAGGCTCCGCGGCCCGGCCCCCGCCCCCCCACTGCCCTCGCGGATGCTCGTGCCCGTGGACGCCCGGAGTCCCCGCCGCGCCCTGTGCCCTGGTCTGCGCCGGCTGCCCCACCCCGCCCGCGCCCTGGGCCGCGCGAGGCCGACGGGGACACTGACTGCTTTCTTCCCTCGGGTCTCCCTCCAGTGAGGCGGGGAGCCTCGTCCTTTCGCGGGGCTCCATCCCGGGCTCTGGCCGCTCGCCCCTCGGCGCGCCCGCTCGCTCCCCTGCAACCAGAGGGGGCGCCAGTGAGGACTCCGGGCCGGAGGGCATCCCCGCGGGGCGGGGCAGGCCTGCTCCCGGGCTCGGGCTCGCAAGCCAGGTTGAGGGGAGGGAAGGTGTAGGTAGGGGCCGGTCTGGGGGCCGGTGGGGGACAGGGAGTAAGTCTAGGATCGTAGGGGCGGGGGGGCGGGAGGGAGGCAAGTCTAGACTTGCAGGGGTGGGTCTGGGCTCCCGAGGACTGAAGGGGTGGGCAAGGCTGGAGCTCCAAGCCGAGGAGTTGGGAATCAGGTCTGGGCCCCCGAGGGCAGCGAGCAGTGTGGACAGTTGGAGGGGTGGGCGGGTCTGGGGTGGGGTGGAAAGTCTGGAGTTCCAAGGAAGAGTAGTTCTTGGATTCCGGGGGGCGTCTAGAATCCTGGGGGGGGGGGGGGGGTGGGTGGGGGGGTTAGTCTGGAGTCCCGGGACGGGGGAGGGCGATCAGGGAGTCCGAGCGCAAGTGGGGCGGGACACGGGGTCCTGTCTGGCATCCGCGGGGCACAGGTCCGGGATTCTGCGCGGCGGGGGCCGCGCGCTCACCTGGGACCGACCTCGTGGAGCAAGCCTCGCCCCCATCCCCCGCCGCGCCGCCTGGCGTCCCACGGTTGCCCGGGGCAACGGGCGGGGCCGTCGCGTCGCATTGTGCAGCTCCGGCGCTCGGTGTGCGCGGCCCCACGGGCCCTGGGGGCGCGGCGCGGCGGCGGGCGCGGGGAGTGGGGCTGCGAGGGCGCGCGGGCGGCTGGGGGCGCCGGGAGCGGCTGCGGAGGGGGTAGCGCGGACGGTGGCGCACGCGAGGCTCTGATCCCCGTGGGCCGCGGTCAGTGGCGCACGCGCTGGGTCTGGGGCCCGGGCTGCGGTCCGAGGCACGGGGGCCGGGACGCCCGGCCATGGTGTCTGCGCGAAGGAGTGGCCGCGCCATCCCCGGCCGGGGTCACGCGGTCCCTCCCGGCGCGGGCTGTTGGGGTCACACTTACCCGCCCTGGCAGTCCGAGGCCTCCAAGTCATAAAGACTCGGAAGAGTCACAACCGGCCCTCGACCCCAACCCAGGTCTCCCTCTGACCCTCACTCCCGGAGCCCCCAGCGGCCGCGTTTGGTGAGCAGAGGCGCAGATCTCAGCCCCCAGGGTGGACACGCGGGGCCGGGGGGAGGGGGCTGCGCACTGGCTGTCCCCTCACGGAGGTGGTCGGGACGGCTTCTGTCACGCCAAAGAATCCGAGGTGGCCTTGGTGTCCCCAAGTTCACTCGTGGGAGCCTGCACCGTCACCCTGCGTGTTCCAAGTGCACCCAGTATCCCATGTCACCCAACCCCTCGTCCCCAGCCTTTTGAGTCCTTCTTCCTCCCGCCTGTGTTGGGAGGGGGGAGTAGGAAAGACCCACCCATCCAATCAATGGTCTTTGCTGCCAGTGAATTTCTGAAACTTGTATCTTTTTTTTGGTTTTAAATCTTTATTTTGCACTTAACTTCCCAGGATAACTCAAAAGTGAGGCTCTGTTCCCACTCTGCATTAGCTCTGTACAACTCAGTGCGGTGGGCAGTTCCCCAGGTGGAGAGGGGCCTTTGTGCCCCTTTCCAGTCTTTACCATGCGAGCCTCTAGGCTCTCAGGGGTCCCCACCTCCACACGGCCTCAGGGGTTACATAAATCACCAACAAATTAAAAAGTAGCCCTCACCTCCACCAGCCCTCCTATACTTTACCTCCCAATTCAGGCCCTAGGTAAGAGATCCCTGAAAGACTCAAAATAAAACAGGCCACGCTTACATGTTAGCATTTATTATTCAGGAGGTATTAAACTATATAAAAGAAAAAGGTCAATCGACAGAAACAGAGCCATACATTTCTAAAATCCCATTGGTCTGGATTTCTCAAGCTCTATCTGAAATAAAGTGCAACCCAGTACCAAGCCCCAGGTGCCGAATTCCAGCTCCAAGACTCAGACCTGGACAGCCAAGGAAACATCAGAGTGGCCTGTGCCATCTCCGTGGCTCCCGTCCCATGTGGCCTCCTCGCCTGGAAGCCGCAGGCAGGAAGGGGAGGTGGCCTGGACTGTGGCTCGGGGGCCTGCGTGTGTGCAGGAAAGAGCCATCTCCCCCGCTCTTGCTTGTTTGGGGATGTGGCCAAGGACACAGTCAGGGGAGGACAAGCCTCCCTGGCTGGCACTCCCCCCTTCCAGTGTCTCTTCTGCCTTCCTCCTGCTGCAACCTGCCGTGACTACTGTGAGGACACCCTGGTGGCCAGTCACTTGTGCTCAGCAATGAGAAACCAGGGACGAGCCTTGAACCCTCCCCCCCCACCAGGTCTACACCCAGCCAGTCCGGCCCATCCTCACTAACAAACTACAGGGAAGGGCAAACGTCAGCACCTTCCAGCACGGTGCCGCTTAGCTCCTTCTGTGGGAGGAAGAGACACAACCACTTGCACGTGCAGCCTTGTGAACGCAAGTACAGGCCCCAGGACGATTCCCGAAACCACGAACATTTCCACCTTCAGAAGGTGCTCCCCACCCACTGGGGATTTATCTGTGCCCATGTCAACTAGGAAAAGCTCATCATTCTTCCAGAAAATTCCAGGCATACTAAGGGACAAGGAGATGGCACACAAACTAATTCTTGGCCGTGATTTTAACTGAAGCAAATATTACCCTGACACCCAAACTGTCTCCGCTGTCTGGGAGGGGACAGTGACAGATGTTAGAGACCCTTGGCCTGGGCCGGAACCTCAGGTAAGTGAGGTTAAGAAACGGAGGGGCTGGAGAATGCTCAGGGACAACCCCCATGAGGGTTCTAGGGGGGCATCTATCTCACAATTTGAGCATGGTAATGGGAGTGCAAGCAGGCCCCATGACAGGAGGGAGGGCCCAGCCCCACCTGCATCACCAAGGCCAACGCGACCCAGAAATGTGATCCAAGTTTCCAAAGCCCTGGGCATGGCCCTGCCCCAAAGAACACTGAGCTGTCACAGGGGCCAGGGTCACTCTTAGTATTGTGTTGACAACAGGGTTCAGGAGCTGGATCCCCAGGCACAAGTGCAGACAGCCCTGCGGACCTGGGTCTCCGCACGCCGTGCAGGACACAGACCACACCAGCAACACTGAGTGGGCAGGGTCCTTCTGCAATGACTTGGTTTAAGAGCGAGGGCAGAAATTTGGGCACGTGGGCTCCACACACGCTCAGCTGTGGGCGTGGCGGCTGCCCTGTCACCACAGTCCTGGGGAGAAGGGGCTCCCCTGGCTTGTGAGACACGACAGGAGCACGTGGCTCTGCTCTGTGATCCTAAAGAGTGCGTGGCAGGCACGTCTCAGCAGAGGGATGCCGAAGTCGGGAAGAGCCACGTGGGGCTGTTCACGGCACAAATGTCGTCTGCTTAAAGTGGGTGCTCGACGAGAATGGGCCCGGGAAGACGGCGAGGTGCGGGGGGGACGGACAGGAGGCTGGCCGCACCTCCAAGGCCTGCCTACAGGCGCCGGGGCGGTCTGGCCCCAGCACAAGCCCTTCCTCCCCTGAGAGCCCAGCACTGCTGTCAGGAGATGGCACCTCGGGGTGAGGAACTCAAAGACTTATAAGCACAAAACAGTCAAGATTTGCCTACTTAAAAATTAAACTACTGTAAGAAATGGAAACCCCACCTTGCAGCCTGGCCTGGATGGAGGGGAAAGGAGCAAGTTAGAAAGTGGCGGCTGGAAGACCGCTAGCCAGGCGGGGGCCCACCCCTGCCTCGGTGTCCCTGCGCCGCGGTCACTGGGCCATCTGCACCACGACGGCCCTCCATGCCTTCTCCATGTCGAACTCCTTCAGGGGGCTTCTGGACACCTGTAGCCAAACAGGCGAAGCGTTATTTCTCCCAGGGGGCACCCGAGCGCAGGAGGCGGGTGGGAAAGCTCTGTAAGCTCGAGAGCTTTCCTCAGCCTGTGAAAACAGGACAGGAAACAGCCCTGGAAACCCGAGGGGACATAGAGTCCCCTGCCCCTCCACCCTCCCACAGACCAGCCCCTCTGTCCCTCGTCCCCGCAGGAACACAGCCCGGGCAGGGCAGGGTGCGCATTCGCCTGACGAGAGGGGACGTATCTGCGTCCAGCGCCTGGCAGAGCACACATATGCGCAGACAGAGCAACGATCTGCACCGCAGGGCAGGACACGGCACTGGTGCCCCCACAAAGGAGGCCCTGGGTCGGCCCCTGCGTGTGTGCAGGCACCATGGGGAGGGGGACACCCAAGGCAGGAGCGCACTTGAGGCAGAGGTGACTGAACACCTCCAGAAACAGGGAGGGCAGCTGCGGGCCCCTGAGCCTCTAGAACTTGCCGTTATGGAACCCGGTGGGAGCACTCATTCGCCAGACTTGGTGTCTGCACAGAACCAGGTGGGTGCTTTAAAGGGCCTGCGGTCAAAGGCATCCCCGCAGGAGCCCCCGCCTAACTGGTACAAACAAGGAAGTGACTCCATCGGCAGGGTTCAATGACGGAAAGTGCAGGAGCGGATGGAAAAGGCCAGGGTTGCCAAGGGCCCTGAGGTTGGTAGTACCAGGTGGGAGGAGGGTCCAGTCCACCCACGGCGTCCCTGACGGACCCTGTACAGTGTACAGCACACTGTAAACACCTCTGGGCCGGCAGCTCCTGGGGTCGAGACACTGACCCCCCAGCCTCCAGCTGTCGGGGGTGAGGGGCAGGACCCGGTGGCCTGGAGACTAGCAGAGGGGCTCACATGACCCTCCAGAGCCTGCCAAACAGAGGTCACCGATGCAACATCCATAGCGAGCTGGGCGGGCACCCCCTTCCCAGCAGAGCCGTGCCCCTGGGGGGGGGGGCAAGGAAGGGACTTCTGCGGCCCTTGTGGGTCCTGACCAGCTGCCTATCCGTGTTTGCAGGAGTAAAACTGAAGGCTTTCAGTCTATGGTTTCAGGGCTGGATCTGGCCAGCCCATCAGGACAGGGAAGTCGCCAGGTTGGAGGCCACTCACCTCCCCTGCTGGGCGCTCCTGCTGGCCCATCTGCGCAGCATCCCAGGATGTGCCCAGCTTGAAGCTCACGCAGCGGACGACAGTGCCGGTGTTGAGGGCGGCCTGCAGCAGCAGCTCCAGCATGAGCAGCAGCAGCAGCACGTCGTAGGATTGCTAGGGGGAGAGGAGGCTGTGAGCTCCCGGCCGGCCCTGGCCCCCGGCACTCAGCCCCTGGGCCTGCCGCCTGCAGGGGGGAGGCTACCCTCCAGCCCAGGCAGGCCATGCAGGCAGCTCCCCTTCTCCCACATCCCCCCATTCCGGCCCTGGGACCTTCCCAGAGCACTTGAGTGAGTTCATGTGAATCGATTTCAGGTTTTCAGGTACGTGCACTTCTGCTGATTTCAGGAACCTGAGCGGTAATCATTCTCTCTCACGAATGGGAGTCAAAGAAATCAGAAATCAGTTCCATAAGTTCAGTTGGCCATAAAAATGGCCCACAAGTGGCAGAGCCCTGTGGGTAGCCTAGGGGCTCACAGCCAAGTCTCCCACATCCTGAAATAACCAGTGACATAGAGCCAGTGACACAGAGGGTGTCCATATGGGGCAAAGCGACCAGTTATGAGGGCCCTGAGCCGCAGATGGGGTCCCTGGGCACTGGCACACAGACACCATCAGCAGATCCCCCTGGGGCTTGGGCTGGTGCCTGTTGCAGGGAAGGGGGCTGAGGAGTACCTGGGGCCAGAGGGGGTGATGGGGGAATGGGGGAGCCTTGGCAAGCAAGGGGTCCCAGTGAGCACCCAGCCCTCCCAGCTGCAGGCAACCTTCAGCACAGTCACAGAGTAACCAAACGGTAACACAAAACCCCCAGCCCCATACTGTGTCACTGTTAGGAGAGAGAGAGAGAGAGAGAGAGAGGGAGACGAAGGGAGAGAGAGGAAGAGAGACAAAGAGAGAGGGAGAGAGAGGGAGGAAGGCAGGTGGGGAGGGAGGAGACAGAAACACCTCTCCTCAACCTAATGTATAAGTTTAACCACAAACCCCATTTAAAAAAAAAAAAAAAGTGCTTTCTGGAGCCAGGAAAGTTGATTCTAAAATTTACGTTAAAAAACACACAACAGAAGTGAGGTGACCCTGAAGGGAAGAGCGATCGGTAACTGGGCATCCAGCCCGCCAGCTGGTGAAGCCTAGTCTCAAACTCCCCTCATCAGGACAGGGCGGCACCAGCCAGCAGACGTGTGAGAATGACAGGTGCAGACACAGAAGCTTAGTGTGTGACACGGGCAGCATCTCAAGTGACCGAGGAAAGATGGCGGTTGAAGCCCTGAAGAGGTGAGTTCCTTATGCTCCAGGATAAACTCCCACTCAACACACAAGTCGTAGTCTTTCTTCCTTTTTAATATTTATTTTGAGACAGAAAGAGCAGGGGAGGGGCAGAGAGAGGGAGAGAGAGAATCCTAAGCAGGCTCTGCACTGACAGAGGCTCGATCCCGTGAACTGTGAGATCATGACCTGAGCCGAAATCAAGAAGCAGGACACAACCGACTGAGCAGGACACAACCGACTGAGCCACCCAGGCACCCGAAGTAGTAGCCTTTCTAATTACGACTTAAAATCCCAAAGCAATAAACGAAGAGATTGATGATTTGACTACAGAGAACAAACCAAAAACCTTCCTCATGACAAAAATCACAAGTGGAACGAAAAACAGCTGCCGTGTGGAGGCTGCTATCCGGACCTTCTGTTACAGAGGTGACTCCCAAATATTGGGGAAGCTCCAAGCCCACTAGACAGTGGGGAAAAGATAGGAACAGAGCTTACTGGAAAAGAAATGCCGAAACCGCCTGGCACAGCCACAGGCCCCCAGCACTCGAGTGCAGAGACACGCACACCGCGGCCACACGGGGTGCGCTGGCTCACCCGCGTGACAACACTGTGTGACGACGCTCTGTGCGGGGCTGGTGCTCCCCTACCAGTGGTGGGAGGGAAAATGGGGCCTGTCGTGAGGGGGACTTGTCACCATTTCCCAAAACTAGAGATGTGTCCGCCCTCGGGCCCAGCAGCCCCTCTCCAAGCTCACTGTCCTAATGACGCACCACACAGACTCAAAACCAAGCGTGGGCAGAGACTTCTTCGCAACGACAGCAGAAACCGGGAGCAATCCGGCCCCACAGTGTGCGCGTGTAATTAAAGAATACAGAAGAGCTCCTACCCTTGGTGTGAAAAATGCAAACAGAAAATATCGAAGTTGACCACGTATCAAATCAATAGAAAAAACATATGCAGAAAAGGGGCTTATTTCTCTCCTGAGTGGGGTCAAAGCAAGCTGTAAACTCACTGGGCGAGTGTGCTGCTGGAGGTAACATTGGTGGTGCAATTGTGACGACGCTCGTGTATAAGATAACTACACTCAGTATTATCAGGAAACAGGATACTAATACAAAACAACAAAAATTGACCAAAAAAATCCAAACATGTAATTTTGAATTAAAAATATAATATAAATTTGGGATCTTTAAAAAATGGATTTCTCAGCTCTGTCCACTGAAGTCAGGCTTAGAAGCAATGACTCCCTGTACGAATGAGCACACACACCTCATATCTTCACTTCTGTGTGTTCCCTCCAAGGGGCCTGAGAGGGTCTGGGGTGCAGGAAGGATGAGGCGAGCCTGGGTCACCCCCCAGTGTCTGCAAGGAGAGGCTGACAGGCTACTGCAGGGCACATGGGACTGGAAGGTGCTTCCTCTGGCCACAGCTGGGCCAACGTGAGCATCAGAGAGTAACGCGGCAGCACTGTACAAATACTGAAAGCCCGGGAGTCCTCGGTGGTGCTCAGAAGGAAAGTGGGACAGCAGAGCCAGGCGTCCGTCACCTCTCTTCCCCCCTCACTGTGACACAAGCACTCAGGCCAGGGCCAGCCGCCAGGGCTAACCCCGCACAAGGTGCTGGGACGAGGCCCCTGCAGGTGTCCGGCTGACGGCACGGTTGTCCCTCCCTGTGAGAGCCCCACCCACCACCACCAAGAGCACTCGGGCGGCTTGCTGCCACACCAGGTGGGAGGAGACGCCACGTGCTCTTGACCTCACTCCCACTGGCGTCACAGGAAACAGAGCCACAAGTGGGACCTTCTCCCAGACCACTGGCCAGGACTCTAAAGTGTCAGTGCCACAGGGGAAAAGGTGGGGACTGTCCTGACTCGAGGAGACTTGAGGGCAAGTTGTGCCCCTCAGCTGGGTCCTGCTCTGGAAGCTTCAGCCCATGAGGCACTTTCTTGGGACGGTCTGTGAACACTGAAGGAGACGTCATGTGATGATTTTAGGCCTCTCAGGCGCCTCGGTGGGATTGTGCATGTGTAGGAAGCAGTCATTGTAGAAAAGCCGAATATTTAAGGTGAAGGGTCCACACCTGCCACTCACTTTCAGATGCTCCTGAGAAACGAGTGCGTGCTCCCACCCATCAGTATGAACACACAGGTACAATCAACACGTCAGGTACTTAGAATCTCTCAACTTTTCTGTACGTTGGAAATTGCCCACGATAAACATTTGGGAGTAAATACCACGCATGCCAGTGACAACGTAAAGTATCTAAGAAACAAGCCTAGTGCTGTGTGTCTGAGCCCGTGGAGACCATGACGAAGTGCTGAGAGCCTCCAGACAAGTCCTACCTAGAGGCATGTTCATATGCACAAAGGCACCAGGTTCTCCTCACGTTTATCTATAAACTTGACGTGACTACAACGGAAATTCCAACGAGGTCTCTCACACAACTGGGTGAATGACAGATCCCAAAGTGAGAATGGAAGCAAGAAGGGCTGAGAAACCCCAAGAGCGTCAGGAAGAAGGGGTGTCTGGGCAGGTTGCGGGGCCACCTGAGCCCAGACAGAACCGCCCAAAGTTGGAAGAGGCAGGCTGCGTGGAGCAGGGCTGGGCCCGCACGGGCGTCAGAGAAGGGAGCGCAGACACCTGGCCGTCTGCGCGTGGGGGCAAAGGAGATGAGGCCTCGTGCCCCGTGCAGAAGCAGCCGCACGCGGCCCCGCCAGACTCTTCCCCCACACGGCCTATGGCAGCGACACCAGATTTCCAGAGTTCTAACATAAAACAACACGCACCTTGATGGCCGGCGGGTAATCTTTGAAGATCTCCAGGACTCGCATGACGCTGAAGGACAGGTACCCAGAAGCCGTGAACAGCAGCGGGGACGCGAGGCTGCAGATGGCAATCAGCACCTCCACCTGACGGGAGGAACGGGACTCGGGCCGCTGTCTGCACAGGCAGGGGTGGGTGCCGGCCGCGGCGTGGAGCGAGGGCGGACGTGCCCCTGGGCTCAGCACGAAGCCCCCGCCAGCCTCTCCACACTCGGTTTGCCATAAGCTCCACGTGTGGCTCGTGTCCCACGAGATCCCTCGACCGTGCACAACTACCCACTCTGTTCAGTGAGCACCGTGAACGGCCGGCCCAGAACCTTGTTCTTCTAAAACCCCGCTCACGTGGACACGGCGCCTGGGTTGTCTGCGAGGCCGCACAGCCACATGCGGGTGCTGATAAAGCACGAACGCAGGGCGCCGCTGTCAAACGAAGGGCCTCACGGCACGCAGGAGGAGGCTGGAGGACCGGATGCTGAGTCACGGGACTCTCCCGACTCTCTTACCAAATGTGCTCACTTCCATCTGCTTCTGCAGACAGGCCGGCCCTGAGGCTACCACACGGCCCTCCCGGGCTCAGCCCTGCAGCCCTGCCAGCGGGGTGGGAGCCCTGCCAAACTGCAGCCCGGTACCGGGCGAGCCGGGCCCTGGCGGTGCACAGTGGGTCCCTGGTGCCTGGGGACAGGGCCTCACTTACCAGACACTTGCTGGGACACTCAGCTGTGACGTGACTGGCAATGGCACTTGGAAAACACTAAGAGAAAAGGAAACACAAAGGACTTCAGAGGAGACCGTCCAGGAAGTTAATGCCAGGCACGCGCTCCTGTTCTGGTGGGCACATCCTGGTGGCCAGCAGCGCCGGGGCGGCCCTCCCAGCTCGGGCGCTGGCAGCGCTGGGGCCGGGGCCGGAGGGCGGTCCCTGAGGCCTCCTGTGCCCTGATCCACGGCTGCAGCTCAAGTCTGCAAAGAAGCGGCAAGAGCCACGCCAGGAGGGCCCGCGCCGCCCCAAGTGGCTGCCTGCGACGTCCCCACCTCGGCGGAGACGGGGACGCCTGCCCTGAGCACATGCGCGTGTGCCTGCAGAGACTGAGGGCGTCTCCCGAGCCCTCTCAAGTCAGCATCACGCGGGGAACGTCACGCAGGCTACATGTGTTACCTGTGTTCGGATTCTCCCAATTACCCCAAAGATGTCCTGTAACAGGTGTTTGTCCCTGGTTCAGGATGCAGTCGGTGGCCACACTGTGCTTAGGAGTCCCCTTGACCTATGTCATCGTCAGACGCAGATGTCTCTGAGGAGGGCTCCAGCTGCAGATGGGCCTTAGCTGGGGCCAGTCTGGGGCTTCCTCACGATCAGACTCAGGGAGCCCCAGGAGACACGGCTCCTCGCCGGCCACCCACTGCACTATGACCACTAGGTCGGGGGGCTCTTTAGGCTCCTTCACTAAAGGGGCCCCTTCCTCTTTATACTCAATAAATGTCTTTTTCCACTTATTGTAAGGAGCCTGATTTAGTTCCATGCCATTCTGGCAGAGGGAAGCCACAGCAGGAGGGCACGTCCTTCCCAAGGTGCCGAGTGCTGAGCCCACCGAACCCACGGAGCCCGTGGCCCCAAGTGTATCCAAGGTCTAGCTACCCGGCCACATACCCGTGCAGGAAAAGGAAATGGCCACACCCTGGGTGGCAGCGGACTCCTCCCCTTCGTGGGAATATGTCAGCCCTCTGGACACTGGGGGGAGGGGACAGGTCTGCACTTGTTCAGGAGTCTGGCCTAAGAGTGAGCAGGGTAGAGGCAGGCCTGAGGCCATGAGATCCCGGGCAGCAGCCAGAGGGCTGAGAGGGGAGCAGGCCAAGGGAGGCGGGGAGAGCAGCACTCTGGAGGCCGTGGTGTGGGCACGACAGAAGAGCCCGATACGGACAGGGGTGTGGGTATGGCTGCAGGGGTGGGTGGGCCTAGGCCAGGGAGTTTGCTCACTCTAAGGAATGCAGGAGGTGAAGGTGTCCATGCAGGAACCTCCCCCCAGACTGGTGTTTCCATCAGGGAAACTGGTATAAGCAGAGAAGAGACTGTGGATGTGGAATAGCCACTTAGGGAGTGACTAGAGTGGCCCCAGTAAGTGTGGTGGGGGGGGGGGGGCACAAGTTTGCTTACCACCCCTGGACTGGCAGGAAACTGGCCCATGGGGAGGAGGGCAGTTCACACACACCTGCTCATATACACATACATACCTGGCCCGGGAGGCTGCAGGGACAGGCTCTCAGCCAGGGCCTAAGCCTTGCACCCCTGCCTGGTCTACATCCTTGGCCTCTCCACCGTCTCTCCCAGCCAAGACGGGGGCAGGTGGAGCTGGCTGTCCCCCGCCCCGGGATGGAGAGGGAGGATCATCTGCAGAGAAAGGACTAGGGAGACTGGACGTGGGGAGGCCAGGTGTGCAGAAGGCCGCGCCTGGGGGACACGGCCACAACCTGTGGCGGGTGCTTAGGCAAGTATGTCTTCACTATAAGCTTTAGGGTAGTATTTGGTCTCCATCCTCAGTAACTCAAGGACATAATTACAGGTATTTCCATGTCACCTCAGAAGTTAAACAAGTAGACGTACATCCGTTCCCACGGCCTCGATTGCTGGGGCGGGCACAGAGGCAAGCGCCCTTCTCTGCAAGTCCCACCTGTGCACTGGCAGCTGGTGGCCAGGTGCATGGCTCCACCCCACGTCCTCCCTGCCTGCTCTCTCCCTCCAGGCTCCAGTCCTTGGGGAGCACCTCGGCCATTGTTCCTAGGGCTCAGCAAGGTGGGACAGGCGCCCCCGGCGTTGTTGAGCCTCAGGAGACAGCAGGAGTCCAGCCCCAGCACCCGATGCAGGCTGCTCCAGCCCAGCCACACTGAGTGCACAGGCGGTGGGGGCAAAGGCCACCCCCTCGAGGTGCCATCAGGAAGAAGAGCACATAGACAAGGCTGTGGAGGCTGTGTCCTAGTCATTCATCCAGAACCACCTTGGACAGCAGGGTGGGACAAACCAGGCCCTTCCAGCAGGCATCACCATGTGACACAGAGACACTGCAAAGCAGCCACGGGGTGCCAATGTCCAGAAGTGCAGGGCACAGGTGTCTGGGATGGTCACTGGGCTGGGGTTTCAGGTATGCAGGGGGCGATCTGAACGGTTCCACGCAGGTGTGAGGAGCCCATACCCAGCCAAGGACCCGTTCCCAAATGGGGGGCACTGGGCCAGATGCTCCACAGGCTGCACTTCAGTTAAACACTAAACACTGTTAACTTGTGTGAGCAAACAGTCGCTCATAAAATGATGAATGAGCCATAGAAAACACCCCGATCACATATGGTAGGCACTTACCACGCATGCACAGGGCATTGTGCTGGGTGTTTACGGAAACAGTATTTAATATAAAATAATAAGCATGTTATACTTTATAAGCCACGTATTACAGAACAGCGTGTTACATATTATAGACTGACATAAAACAAGCATCTTCAAGAAAAAGTAATATACAAACATGAAACAACAATACTGACTCATATAAAAACAGTCAACTGGGGCACCAGGCTGTCTCAGTCGGTTGAGGTCCGACTTTGGCTCAGGTCACGATCTCACAGTCTGTGAGTTCAAGTCTTGCATCAGGCCCTGTGCTGACAGCTCAGAGCCTGGAGCTGCTTCAGATTCTGTGTGTCCCTCTCTTGCTGTGGACCTCCCCTGCTCATTCCTCCCCGCAATAAACATTTAAAAAAATTTTTTTAGGGGCGCCTGGGTGGCTTGGTCGGTTAAGCGTCCGACTTTCACTTAGGTCATGATCTCGCGGTTCGTGGGTTCGAGCCCCGCATCGGGCTCTGTGCTGACTGCCAGCTCAGAGCCTGGAGCCTGTTTCAGTCTGTGACTCCCTCTCTCTCTGACCCTCCCCTGCTCACGCTGTCTCTCTCTCTCTCCTAGAAATAAATAAAACATTTAAAAAAAAAATTTTTTTTTAAAGTTACCCTTCTGACCCATTTGATTCTTGATACTCAGCCACGAAGGAGTGTCCTGCTTGGCCTGCGAGCACCCACCTTCCACCCTCTTCTCATCCAGCTGCTCTCTTGCCTGAAATCCACCAAAGCTGAGCTCCAAGACTGGCAGTGACCACGCTGGAGAGAGCAGCAGGGCTTAGCCAGTGGCCGGAGACCACACAGATGAGGGCCACAAGGGTGTACTCACGGCCACCAAGATCCAAAAGAACGTCACAGAGAGGTGCGGCCCCGAGATGGCCTCATCCACGTTCAGAGCGATGACCCCACCCAGGACGGCGGAGACGCCAGCAATCACCTCGATGACCTGGAGGGCGAAGCACACGGGCGGGGTCACCCGAGGACTGTCTCACGCTGCAGGCAGGCAGGGGGACGCGAAGAGGGGGTTCTAAAGAGCTCAGGGCAAAGCAGCCATAGGCCCTATGTTGATGTTGAGGATAACCTTTAAAAGAACACCAAAAAATGCACAGCTCCCAACTCAAAATTAGTGGGAAAAGGAAAAAGGTGGGAGAAGGAAGGACGAAGCTCCCACCAATTCACAGGCAGGCAGGGGAGGCAGGAGACGGCACGGAAACTAGAAACAGAGAGGCGGCAAGACGAAGTAGAGACGTGCCAGCGCGGGGTGCAGACTCAGACGGACGGGGTGAGGATGACACACAGTCCCATGCCGTGACAGCAGCAGCCCCAGATGCAAGGATGAGACAAGCTGGTAGGCAGGGCAGGAAGACACAGCCCGCCCGTGCTAACCAAAAGAGGGCTGTGCACCTGAACCAGTCAGCACAGACTTTACGGCAAAAGCTGTCAGCAAAGGCGGAGTTGCTAGGTAATGGTGAGAATAGGAAACAACTGTAAACTTGTACGTAACCAGGAACAAAGCTCCAAAAACCCATGGCAAATAGCTACTGAACCACACACAGAAATCACGAAGACCATGTTCAGAGCAGGGGGCTTAACGCCTCTTTCAGTATCAGGACAAGTGGACTAAAGAAACAAGCTGGAAAGACATACAAGACTTGACATACGGTTAACGAGACAGGGCAGCCACATGACTTATCCTTCAAACCAGGACAATTCCGAGAGTGATGGAGTGAACTTAAGAATTCCCTGTGGACAGAAGGTGTCACTCAGGACAGTGTGTCACCACGGATCTTTCCCAAATAAAACAAAATAAAATAAAGTAAGAAGAAAAAGGAAAGTTTATCTTACTGAATAGGATTTCAGGACCCGAGCAGGAAACGCCACTTCATACAAAATGTTGGTGCTATCTGACACGGGCCCCTGGAAAGAAACAAACCACATGTTTGGCCCAGTGACTTTCCATGTGCTGTAGCAGGGGGTGGGAAGGGGAGGTGCACCCAGGCCGCCCACTGCCCAGGCTGTTGGCACTGGCTGGCCATCTCCAGGCTGTCACTTTGGCCGTGTTCTAAAACATGAGCATCTGGGAGCCACTGGTGGATCTTCAGACTTGAGATACTCCTTGCATATGAAAACAGAATTAACTGCTGCAACGCCAGCAAGCGTTACAAGGTGACACTTTTGGCAGCCTTGGTCTCTCCACTGGCACTTGAGCAGAATCACACTATGGGGAAGCTGTGTTGCATCTTCTACTTTGCCGTGCTGAGGCTACCAGCCTCATGAGATCCTGGAGAACTGGCTGGGGTGCTGTGGGGCGCCCCGGGGCAGCCTACCCCTGGGGTAGGGTGAGTGTTCGGGTGCGGGGGAGGGCCTGCCATGTGCCCTGTGCAGCACAGGGCCAGACCCACCTTCTGCTTACAATACGCCTCGCTCGACCGTGCTGAGATGATCACCGTGGCCGCCATGAAAAGCTCCAACAGAAGGAGCAGAATCAGATTAAAATTTATCTGCCAAAAAAGAACACATAGGCCTATAAGACTGGCTCTCTTCACTCTCTTTTCTGTAAATGTACACAGAGGCTTAGGCGCAGGTTCAAAGCTCTGGACAGCACAGCTGCTTCTGTCAAAGGCCAGATGCTAGACACAGGGGCCACACTCCCCCTTTGACTCACGTGTGTGTTTTGTTTCGTTTAAACCATTCTTAGCTCAAGGGCTTGCTGTGGCCATTGAGCTGTAGGCTGCCGATCCCTGATCTAAACCTTCCTTAGTGGTTCGCCCTCTGGGCATTTAAGGACGTGAAAAGTTATGTTCACATCAAAACCTGCACACCTGTACACAGCCTTCTGCATGACTGCCAAAAATTGAAGAGAACTGGGCCTTGGAGGTGATAAAACTGTTCCAGGTTGTGGTTGTATTGACAATTAAAGCAAACTATGCCTGTATTAATAATCAATGAAAAAAATACTGAGAAAAGTAAGTTTAATTATAGGATATGGAAACCAGCCGATCCAGAGCCCCAGCCCAGCACCCCTCTGAGGGGCTCCCACACTCATGGCATCCCTCACCTGTCCCCACCCCCCAGGCAGGTGCCCCACACCCCTGAGGAGCCTCAGGGCCCACGGATGGACGGGATCCACACCAGCCAGTCCGGAGCCCACTCACCTGCCTCACCCCCAGGAAAAGCTCCCTCTCTCGTTCCCAGTCTGCCTCCTGACTGCCTGCTGCTTCCCCCTGCGGCCCCCAGCCCGCGCAGCTGCCCCCTCCCCTGGGGACCTGTGAGTGACCAGCTGTCTTTCCAATGGCAGTTGTCCCCTGATTTGTAGCCTCCCCAGACCAGGATAATAAAACTTACGTTTAAAGTCAAATGAAATTCATTATTTGATTTATAGAACCCTACACGCAAAACTGAAAACAGAGAATCATCATTCTCTCATAGCATTGGGTGGAACACTAACAAAAACTGACTATTAGGCTACAAAATAAATTTTAATGAATTCCAAAGAATCTACATTACAAGTTGTGCATTCTGACCAAAACATAATCAGAAAATAACAACGAATGGAAGATCGTAAAAGACAGTCCCATATGTCTGTTTCATCAGGGTCCTGGTGAGAAACAGAGGGACACCCAAGAGGAAGGACTGGAGGAGGTTTAGGGACAGGTAGCTCTCAAGTCTGGGCCGGGGTAAGGGAAACCTGGAAGGGTAGCGGTGACCACTAAGGACAAGGACAGGGAAGGAGTAGCCAAGACGACCCCGCCCCCATCCAACCACACCCCCAAAGGGCTCAGAGCCAGGGGAACAGACAGCCTAACCACTGTCAAATGTCCCATCTGAATGAGCCTCTCACGGGCTGAACCCAACCAACGGAGGCCAGAGGGCAGGGTGCAAGGGGGCCCAGTCCACACCTTCCGCCTCCTGGACACAGTCAGGGAGACAGTGGGTGGGAAGTAGGTCTGGAGGGGCCAAAAGGGAAACCTGCAAACACTTAGGACCAAATAATGATAAAAATCCACGTCAAATGTGGGATGCACCTAAGCTGGAGCTGAGAGATGGGGCCAGAAGCACCCCCATCGGGCTCGGCTTTCAGCTCATGACAGGCATAGCACCCTGAGGGACCAACCCACTGACCAAGGAGCAGCCCCAAAACACAGGGAGCAAGGAGATGGATGACAGACACCAGTAAAGAGAGTAAAGAGAGAATGGCAACCAGAAACAAACCAAAGGGGGTTCACAGAACTGGTTCTTTGAAAAAATAAGATACAGTAAAGACATAAATTAAATTCTAGGATGGAAAGGGAAGATAACTAGATGGCACACATTTAAAGTAAGGAGCAGTATCACTAGCTACTACATACTAATAATTTTGAAACACTGGATAATATTAGAGCAATTTTTAATAAAATAGAAAATCTGACACAGGAAGAAACAGAACCCGTTGATACTCATAATGAAGTCCTCCCTCAGCAACAGGTCTGGGTGGAAAGGACTTTACAGATAAGTTCTACTCAACTTTCAAGAAACAGTTCATTCTATCAAGTCATTCTTAAACACAAAAGGGATCAGTGCTGTCTCTCTTACTTTATGGGGCCAGCATAACCTTGATTCTAAAACCAGATGAAGGAAATCTCCCATTTCACCCAGGAGATGCAGAAATCCTAAACACAATACCAGGTAGTCACCCCGTCAGACTATCTATAAAGTAATACCGTTGTGATTGGGTGAGGTTTATTCCAGGAAAGAAAGGCTCAGCACCAGGAAAAAAAATCCATCAATCTAATAAAGTGATGAAAGATCATCTTAACATATCCAAAACCAAACTATTATAATTCAACACACAATTATATTTTTAAAATTAAAAACTCATGACAAACCAGGACTTGAAGAGGACATTTTTAACTTGGTAAAAGTTACACACCCAAAATTTCAGAGACTCTATGATGCAACTCACTTAAAGTCAGAAATAAGAGAGAGGCACCCCAGTGTTTCCCACTGTGGGGGAGACCCTGCCACAGCTACAAGGAAAGAAAAAGATGGTAGAACGGAAGGGGATGTTCACACAGTCATTGTTTACAGAGGACGTGACCACCTGCACAGAAGAACCAATACAAAACTATGAAGAATAAGAGAGTTTAGCAAGGTTTCCAGACACAAAATCTAGTGACAAAATTCCCTTTTAATTTAAAAACTGGTGCAGTCTGAATAGATTTGTACCTAAGTGAATATATAGTAGCAATGTCAATCTCCAGGTTTTGACATGTTCTGATTATGTAAGACGCTGTCACTTGGGGAAGCTGGGTGAAGGGCACACAGGAACTCTCTGTATTATTTATGTGAATTATTCTGAGTCTTAAAATATTTCAAAATAAAAAAATTAATACCCTCTCTCTGCATTCCAATAATCCATCTGAAAATATAACTTAATAAAACACCATTCAAACTTGCAACAAAATCTGTAACGAACTAGGGGTTACTCAACCAAGAATACACAAAACACTAAGACCTGATACAGGAAACAAAAGACGATTTGAGTACGTGGAGACCAACTATGCTCTGTGGAGACCATCTATGCTCTTAGGTAGAATGATTTAATGAACAAAGATGACAAGTCTCACAAAATTACTATATAAACTTAAAATCATCATAATGTAATCCCAGGTGCAGCTGTTGAGAAACTCAGTAAACCTATTCTAAGATCTACTTAAAGTCAGAGAGGCCAGCTGTGAAGGAGCCGGAGGTGGGGTGTAGCTCTCCCGCAGGATACCCCAGGGCATCCTCAGAAAAAGCATGGTGTCGCCCAGTAACAAACTGGTGACAAACTAGCAAAATCACTTCTGTGTGGGAATCTGACGCATTGTGGGGGTTGGGAGAAGCAAGTTCTGTGACTCAAGGAGAGAACCACCTCAATCTACAGATGAGCCGAGGGTGAGAGCAGGCAGCTGTTGGTGAAGGAAGCTAGGAGATAAAAGCAGAGGAAGGGGTGCTCAGGAGCATCAGTGATGAGAAAACATGAAGGGAAGTAACAAGTAGCTCTTGCTACAGTTGTCTGATTGGACACAGTAGACAGTTGATGCCACCAAATGTAGGGAAGGTTTGGGCTCTGAGAAGCTTGAGCACGCAGTTAGGGCAAGAACGGGGGCCCTGATCTTGAGCAAGTGAGTCCAGGCAGAGAGCACCCCTCGGTATATGAGACCCCTGCAGACGTGTCCACATGGGCCCTGCTCCTGGCAGTGGGGCATCGGAGGTGACCCTCTGGATCCACCCCTAAAGGACCCTGGGGAGATGGGGGATCCCACAGAGGGCATGGCGCGTGTTAACGGTGAGCAGCGCAGACTCGCTGTGAGCTGGGTGGACCCCCAAGTGCAGGCAGAATGGTAGGGAACAGATGAGCTCCCCTGCGTACATCGTGTGGGGAAGGGGGGTGGAAGCTGAGGATCCAGGGCCCGAGATGAGCAGGGAGGGGGGCATGGGAGCCACAGCCCCATGAGTCCCATGACACTCGTGGTTTTCCATTTCCCAGTGTGTGTGTGCACGCACATCCCCAGAAAATGGTGGTTCAGGCATTGGAGCCACAAGTCCTCAGTGCTACTTTCAGCGCTGCGTGGCTTGGCCTTCGTATGTCAGGAGCTATCCGAGGACCTGGTCACCCGCGGATTCTGGCACAGTGGCCTGGGCAGGAGGAGCAGCGCCACGGCCACGCTTGAGGAGAAGGCTGGGTGGCATACGGCTTCATCGACCTTTCAGCCTTTACTCTTCTGTTCAGGGTCTTCAGGGGCACTGTCCTAGGCAACGTGAACATTCCAGTACGCGCTCTGGTTTGGGGTTTTTGCCTTGATGCCCAGTGCTGCTAGTAGCCACACTTGCTGGTTGAGTATGCAAGTGTTTCTCCAAGGTCTGCACCGTTGGGGGTGTGCACATGGAGTCACAGTGTGTGTGCTCTTTCAGAACGTACCTGCAAATGCCGGACTGTTTCCAAAGGATGTAAAAGCCGCCCCAGATGGGAGGCAAGCCCCTGGGGCTCCTGCCCATCTGACGCTGGAAAGGGCAACTCTTTGTGGTTTTCATTTACCTCTTCTTGACGACAGTGAGGCTGAGAGTCACTCCAGGGGGCTGGCGGCACTGGGCTTTTCTCCCTGGTGAGCGCCTGAGGCAGCATCCCGGTGCCCTGGATCTGAAGCGGGAGCTCCCCACACACCCTGGACAGGCCCTCTTCCAGCATGCGCTCCTTCGTCTCCCCTGGCTAGGCTCCAACGTGAGGGGCGCAGCACCGCCACGTTCCAAGTCCAGGGCTGCAGTCTGCGCACGCGGGGTGGCTGCAGGTGGACCTGGTCCAGGAGGGCTCCCCTGCCTTCCTGGGATGGCTGTTTCGTACCCCCTGGCTGTGGGCTGAGTTCCCAGCCTGGTGGCAGAGGGCTGCCTTCCCCGGCCCTTGGTCACTACACATGCTGGGTCCTGCCGACAGGTGCTATTGCTCTGGACCCACTGAGAGGCACCCTCACAGGCCCTCAGCTGGGGCTTTAATGAAGTCCTGGCTTAAGGAAGCTTTAATGAAGAAATCTCGGTTCTCAGTAAGGCTTCATGATTTTCCACAAAACAGCCTTACAAAACTTTTGCTACATTTATTTCCAGGAACTTCACATGCTTATATTTAAATTACATTTTCAAAGTCTTCTGTTGCTGATCTTCACACCCTGCAACCTTGCTACATGTGCTCAATTCTAAGGTTGAGTCAGTGGGAACCCCTCTTCTGCAGACAATGTCAGTGTGAGTGTCCCTTCTGGGTCCATGCGTGTTCATGTTTCTGCCTTACAGGCCTGGCTGAGACTTTCTCAGGCCTCCCCATCCTTTTCCTGATCTTGAAAAAAGTGAGTTCAACATTTCCCACAAAACAGAGGCTTTTTTCTCTTTTTTTGAGGTTTCTCTGATGAGTATTCATTTCTTAGGAGACTACAGTTCCTTTCTGGCATCATAATTTAAATCGAAAGATTTTTCTTTCTCTTAGTGGCTCATAAAATAACCGTACACCTTCAAATCAGCAGCATCACAGATTTGATGAAATACGTTGCCAAAGAGATATTAGAAATACTATCAATAAATCCATCTGCTGGAGTCAATGCAACAATCAAACAAAGGCAATTCTCAAAAGCATAAATTCTCAAAATCTGTCAGACTCACAGCTATGACACACATGTACTGTGTCAACCCAATGACAGCACTGTCTCAGGCCCAGACTCAGTGGGACCAGAGCCCTGGGTATCTGCATCAGCAGAAAGACATGTTCGGGAGAAAACAGGAAAATGTTTGGGACCCACAGTACTACCCAATGACTCACGTCTATTGCTGAGGGGTTCACGACCAGTTTGCATCCAAACCAGATTAAACATGTAGTGGTGATGGCAAAAGTGGACACAAACAGGATCTGAAAGTTGGGGATCTGGAAAAGAAAACGGGTTCACTCTTTTTTACAGAACTAAAACAAGGATATCATTGAACCAAATTCCAGATCATTAATTCAAAACGCCACAATTATAAGGGGGGAGGACTCCAGGAAGCCCTGCAGTGGGGTCACAGGGCTGCAGGCAGTGGAGGCGCATCCCAACACGCACATGCGCACACACGCACAGGGGCCCATCAGCCCCACAGGTGGCCTGGGCCTGCCTCCCCAGCCCCCAGCCTGCTGGTGTATGCTGCCATGGAGGATCTTGCACGGCCCAGAGCCACACCCCTGCCGCCACATCTGCAGAGACTGCACAGAAAGCTGGACTCACCGCATTGATGTTTCTCCTTGAAACAGCGAAGCTCACAATTGCCGAGGGAAGGCACTGGAAAGAAATCAGAGCTCCGTGAGCCAGGGATGAATCACCTGGGCATCCCTACTTGCACTGCAATGCTTACATAGGCTTCCAGAATGACCGAAGACACATCAGCCAAACGAGTGCCACCAGTGTACTGGGCACAGGAGCGTTGCCAACGATGAAAGTTCCCATGATTTTCAAAATTATTTATTCTGGAAAATGTTTAACTTTTCTGAAGAGATGAAAGAGATAGATAATGAAACCTATCCTTGCTGAATGTACTTAGAAGTCAGATGGTCACCTCTATCAACTGCACAAGAGCAAAGTTCATCTTAGCTCAAGAATTACCCCACAGGGAAAAACATCTATGTGTGAAGGATGTGAAAACGATAAGAGTCCCAGAGCTCCTAGGAGGCTTGATCTCCACAGGAGCAAAGGACAAGGCAAGAGTGGAGGTGTCAGGGCGGTGGGGAGGTGGAGGACAGGGCACCAGCTCGGGGCTTGTGGGCCATGCCAGGTGTTGCCCCTGTGGGTGACAGGACCCTTGAAGACCCTGCAGAGGGCACAGCACAAGCCATGGGAACACAGCCCAGAGCCTGCAGGACATGGAGCATAAGCTGGATGAGGGCCCCCCGAGGGCTAGGCCTCCAAGAGCGGAGGGGGAGCCGGTGGGACCATGTGGCCTGCTTCCCCAGCCTGTCACTTCTGAAGGTGAAGGGCACCGCCAAGGATTTGGCTGAGATAACCAGCCCAGGTCAGTGTTGCCCTAGAGTACTGGGGTCAAAAGTCAGAAATCATGGTGACTCCCGAGGAAGACTGCTCCAGTAGTGACGAAGGACCACCTAGAAGGTTCCAGAGAGAACAATATGGGTCAAATTTTTGCAAGAACTTTCTTCGTAAAAGGGCAGAGGCTGGGTTCCCTGTCAGCCCACAAGACAGACCAAAGCGGCACACAGCTGTCAGTTAGAAATCGAGGTGCCGGTTCTCGAATGGGAGTCTGTGGAGTGAGGTTCAGACTTGCTGCATCAATCATTTTCAAAAGTAACAAATCTCATTTAAAACTAAAGTCAGATGAGATTCTGAATGAGAAGAGGAAGCAACAGGTAAATTTCAGAGCAAAAAAACTCACACAAAACCTCAAATTTCGGTACCAAAACACAACGGAGGAACGACGCTTACCGATCCTGCAGCACAACGTAAGTAATCCATTTCAGAAGGAAACACATTTCCCAGATAAAGCGAAAACCCCGAAGTCACAAGCAGACAGCTCTGCAAAGTAGCAGCACAATTCAGGTTACAACATAAGCACGTTGGAAGATCGGACGGCTAAACAACTAGTCCTCTGACTGCAACTCAGCAGTGTGTACAATGCCAACCTTGATGCCTGGATTCCGCCAGACCTGACTCCTCCCTGAAGAACGGCCATGGCCCAATCTTCCCCCCAGTGTCAGACTAAGGGCCTCAACATTTATTTGAAGGAGAGAGGAAGAGGCCTCTGTCGAAATTTAAAGCAAGAAATGGCACTTCTCCCCAGAACACACCCTCAGCATGTACAGGATCAGGGGCCTTAGGAACCCCCTCAGGGCCAGCCTCGGGGGCTAGCAAACAGCCCCACCCTATGCTCTCTGTAAAGCTAATCCAAATGGACAGCTAGAAAATGACTGTTCAAGCCAGGGGGTGCAAGCCCAAAGGACAAGGCCCAAGTGACACTCAGGCCTCAGGTCAGGCCTGAGAGACAGAAACTTACTATAGAGGGTGAGGCTGTGGGGCAGAGGGCAGGGGGCAGTGTTAAAAGACTCAGACAAAGGTCTGGACCAGGGGGTTGGGGAAGGTCATGTGTGCTCCCTGAGCACTGGGACCCCGGGGCAGGAAGCCAGGGACACCGTGGTGCAACCTAAGTCAGGAGGGGATGAGCAGGATTAAGTGCCTTGGCCGCAGACAGCTGTGGGCAGTGCACAGAGCCCAGGGCCCTGGGACCATGAGGAGGCTGAGCAGCTGCACGACACCAGCCCCAGGAACAGGGAGGAGGGACTTCCTCTGCAGCCCAGGCAGATGGGGGTTCCGATCTCAGTGGGACAGGGTCACAGCTCAGAGGGAGCGTGGGCAGGACCCCTGGGGGTGCTGCTGGGGGGCCTGGGGAGCCCGGTGAGGGGTGAGGTCCCCACCTGGATCCTGGCTCTCAGCCTGGCCCACACAGGAGACCTGGGGTCCTGCCTGAAGAGAGATGCATCCAATGGCCGAGCCCCAGACAAGCCAGCTCTCAGGCTGAAATGACCCCGTTAGCAGTCAAGTGCCCACCCAAGCACGTCTGAAGGGAAATGTCCTGGACCTCAGGCCTGTCCCCAGCTCTCTGCTGACCCTGTCCCTCCAGCCCCTGGGCTTTCTCCTGCTCCAGGGCCCTGGCTTCCCATCCTGGGACACCGACCCACTGTTGAGTCTGCCAGAGGCCTGCCCTGAGAGCACAGCCCCTCCTCCCATCTTTGGAGGGTGACTCCAGACCCCCCACCCCAGGAGTGGAGGGTCATGGAGACCACCCTAGCAGCAGATGGTCAGCATGGGCCCTGGGCTGTCCCAACCCTAGTGGGACAAAGAGAAGCCACAGCTCAGAGGCCAGCAGGGCTCTTGCGGTAGATATTCACGGGTTGAGGAAAATAACTCCGAGAATATAAGCAAAATGCACATCAGCGCCCATGAGGCTCTCTAGAAGCAAAAGTGAGCTAGGAGCTGCCCTCTCCCAGGCCACTCAGGAATGGTACCCAAAGCAGAGGAAACCTCATGGTGGATGATGAGGCACTACTCACCCCCATCAACACAGAGAGAACCCACGTCTTGTGACTGAAGCATGGGGGCAGCCTTGTTGACAGCTGAAGGTCGCTGGGCTTGGCGTCTGGGGCGTAGCTCCCGGCCTCCGGCCTTCCCCGCTCCAGGGTGGGCATCCGGTCGTAACTGAGCTCCTCCCTGCACTGCTCATCCCGTGTCATGGTGCTCAGAGGACACAAGCCACACGACAGCTGTACCTGGAGCTCTGGAGTCACCTCTGCTGCCGCGTATTCACCAGTAATAAAATCATTATTTATTTTAGATCACTCTGAAACAACTCTAATTAAAGCACGTTGTTTTCAGCAGAAGAAACAGAATTCACACCAAGATGCTACAAATTTGAAGGAAAAAGCAAGCACTGAAGTCTATGAGTAAGACCACTTTCACAGTAAAACCCTGAACAGCCTGGATTCAAGGTGAAATTTTAGGTTTTAAAAAAGTGCCTCGCTGATCCGGGTTTTCCAGGACATTTCAACCTTCACTCTCACTAGCAGCTTCACGTTCAAGTTCCATGATGTGCTGGTTCCCAGAGCACATTAAATTGCTCAAGGTAAGATCGCTAAATACACACACACACTTAACGGTTTAACAGGCACACTTACCTCCAGTGGTTTCTGGTGTTGGGAGCGCTGCTCTCTGGGTGAGGGGCTGCTGTTACCAAGTCATCCTGCCCTGGGCTTCTAGCAAGAACTATTCATAAACGGAACAAAAGCCCAGCAAAACTGCCCTTAAGCCAGGGGAAGGAGTGCCGCTTCCTGAATTTCAATGAGGAGATGAAGAGAGTGACCCTGGAAAGTTCCGCGGTGGTTGTATAACTGCTGGCTCAGAGCACTGCTCCCTCCTGTCTCAACTCCACTAGAAATTAAGGGGCCTCTCAGTTCTACCGATGGCAGCTGGGTCGCACACAGGTGCCAGGGTGGGCATCTCACAAGAAAGAAGTGTCCCTAAGAGTAGCACAACACCGAGCACAGAGTCCAGGCAGCGTGCAGTGCTGGGTGTCCATTTCTGGAACAAACAACTTTCTATCCAAACGCCTTGATAGAACTGTTCCAAGCAGACTTCTTCCACGGATGCTCTGAGATCACAGAGGAAGATCTCCTTCGTGAGGTCACATACACATGTGCACACTCCACGTGGCTGGCCTGGCCCTGGAACTGCTTGGAACCCTGACTCCGTTCCCGTGGGCAGCCCACACAGTCCTGCTGGGCCTTTTATTTCTGCTCACTAAGCAAAGAAAAAGGACGGGGGTGTGCTTCGCCCAGAGACACTGGCACCCTGACACTTATGACGACAGTTTCTTTGTGGACACGGGAGCCATAAAGTGGCACGAATCAAAGAATTCTGAAAAACTAGCTCCTCAAACTGTAAATCCACATAAAGCTTGAGCAAAGGCATTGGTTTTGAATAACGGGATGGTCTGTTGTCAGTTTTTCCACCAAGCAAAGATTAGAGTGTTCATAAACTATAACCTGGGAAGTCAAGGAGGGATTGAAAAACCTCCCAAACTTCTTTACGGACTCCCTTTTAAGTGATAACTGAATTAGTAGGAATTGGTCTGATGAGACTGAACCTCTCGTGTTTCTTTTTGTTTGAAGAAAATGTCAATTCCATTGGCAATACCAACTTCCAGAACAAATCCTGTTTTTTTACACTATTTTCACATACAACGTTGTTCCTAAAATGTCATTCGTCCTTTTTCTGCCCGCTCAGATCCTATTCCTGTTTCAGCATTTCCACTGTCCTTCAACAGATATTTACAGAGGGAACAGAGCAGTCCACAGTCCCTCCTACCTGGAGTTTACGTTCTAATGGGGGGGGGGGGGCAGGAGCACACAAGATAAACAGTGTAATCTGTGGTGAAAATTAAGTAGGAGGAGGGACCGGGGTTTGCTGCTTGGGGGAGCCAGTGCAGGCCTCACTGACAAGGAGGCATCTGAGCAAAGACATGCAGAAGGCAAGGTGGGGAGTCTCACAGAGAGTTGGAGCAAGGGTGCCACAGGTGCAAAGGTCCTGAGGTGGCCAGGCTGGAGGACGACGGACATTGGAAATGAGGCAACCAGATAGGAGGCACCTGTGGGCATGGAGAAACCCTTGGCTTGGACTCTGAGATGGACCTACTGGAAGGTTCTGGGTGGAGGAGCAAGCGGCTGCTGGGTGGAGAAAAGGCGACGGGGCAGCAGGTGAGAGCCGGTGCTGGCCGGGACTGAGTTGGGGCACAGGGGTGGTAAGAAGTGGCCATGTCCTGGGGGATCCTCAAGAGCCAGCACGATGTGCAGTCCCCTTGACGTGGGGCGAGAGGGTGACGAGTCCAGGGGACACAAGGCTTCAGTCTGAGTAGGGGAGGTGCAGCTGTCCCACGTGAGGAGTCGAGCCCGGGGAGAGCGGGTGTGGAGGGAGCCCAGGCAGCTTCCTTCTCACCGTGAGGTGGTGTCTGCTGGGCATCGGGGGACGCACTGAAATCCAGGAGGAGTCCCGAATCCAGGCTGGGGGACACTCCTGCTGCACGTCCTTCCCCGCGCACCCGCGGAGGTCCTGGGGTCCTTCCACTCTCAGCGCACGGCCCCGACTCGGCAGGCCTGCCTTCAGGCTCCGGGCGCGGTGTGCACGCCGCCCGGGCGAGGAATCCAGGTCGCACTGCGCTCGAGCGGCCGCGCGGCCCCGTCGAACAGGGACCCGCCTGCCCAACGACGCGAGCGGGGACACGAGCTGCGCAGAACCGCAGACCGGCAGTCCAGCCCCAGCCCGCAGCCCCAGCCCGCGGGGCGTCGGGGGCGGGGCCGCGGACGGCAGCCTCGTGCCCCCCGAGCCGTGCCGGTTCCCGGACCCCGGCGGGAAGGCCGCGAACCCCCGGAAACTAACACCACTCCTTCTAGAGAAGAAAGTCCCGGGACTCGAAGCAACACCCACAAAGGCAACGAGAAGCCAAACGAACGAAACTACGAGTCCCACTCTCTGAAGGATGCGGCCGGATTCGAGCCGAGACACGCTTACGGCCTTAAATGCCCAGGTTTGAGCTGAAGAAAGTTCCAGAACTCCTTAATTTCCCTCTCAAGAAGTTAGAAAAGCACACACTAAACGAGAAAAGATAAAATGAAATAAAAAATAGTTCGCGCTGACACCGAGACGTGCTTTCTGAAGAGATGGGTTAAGTTGGGGAACCCCTGGGCCGGAGGAGCAGCGGGTGGTTAGCGCCGCAGAGTCAGGGACACTCACTCCTACCAACAGCCTCGCACTGGAGGAGGGTGCGGCCACCAGCATTCGAGAAAACTCCACCGGCGGCACGGAAGAACTCCAGAAGGGCAGAAACAACATCCTCAGGGCGGCCGGAGGCCCGCAACGAAGCGAGGGGGAGCGACACCCGGTCCGCCCACGCGCACGCGCAAGAGGCCCCGCCCACCACGCGATACCGGGCGGCGTCTCGCCCACCCGGCATCTAGCCTCGCTGAGCCGCGTGCAAAAGGTCGCCAACCACTGGCTACTAACGGTCGTGGCTCGCGCGGCAACCCCATTGGCCCAGACGGCAGGCACCTGCGCAGGCGTGGGCGCTGCGAGCCCATTGGCCGAAACCAAGAAGTTGGGGGGGAGAAGGGGGCGCAGGCGCGGCAAGCTCATTGGCCCAAGGAGCGGACACTTCTGGAGGCGGCAGGGCCATGCTGCGCCTCGCGGCCAAGCTGGTGGCCTTCTTCTGGAGGAGGGCGGATGGCCCCGAGGAGGAGGAGGCCCGGCAGCTGGGGCCCGAGCTCACGGAAGGTGCCTCGCGTGGGAGGGCCCGGGTCCTGGGCGCCCCGGGGTGTTGCTCGAGCCGCCAGAGCCCAAGCCAGAGCGAGCGCAGGCCTGGGCGGGCGTGGGGGGCGGCGGGAGGTCACGCTCGCGGGGTCGCTGACGCGGTTTCCGGCCGCGCGCCGCTGTGCCGCGTGAGCGCACCCCGAGGGGGCCGCCGCCTTTCGTTCGGTCTCTGCTGCCAGAGCGAAGGCGTGAGCGCAGTGGAGCGAGGCCTCGTGCGCGCTGTGACTTGGGGCCTTGGTCTTCCTGCGGGTTGGCGCCGCCTTTAATCGTTCTGGTCTCTGCGTTGAAGTCCTAAGCGCGGCGGGCGGGGCGGGCTTCCTCTTTTCGGTCCTCACTGCCACCTGCAGGTGCGTGTTTGGAAAGGTCTGGAAAGCGCAGTCACAGCTGCCCCAGGTTGTCCTTCAACAGCCCTGTGTCGTCCTGCTTTCCTCTCTCGAGGCGGCCTTCGAGGCCTTGGTCCAGTCGGGACTGTGTCGGGACTCTGGCACACGGTGACCTTGAGCCGACGGGGTCAGGGGTGGTGATCGTCCAGTCGCTTTCTCTGGTCTCCGAAGACACGACGTCCTCCCGAGAGGAGCCCGAGGCCGCCGCCGCGTTGGGAGTCAGGGCAGCGCGCCGCGAGCAGCGCCCGCTCGGCCCTCTGTAACCTGGCGCCAGCCCCTCCGCCGGCCGGGGTTCAGCCCCGCGCCCCGTGGCGAGCGGCGCTGCCGCTGGGCCGGGCCTCAGCCCAAGCCCGGAGCCGCCTCTGGCTCCTTGTTCGGGGAGGGGACACAGAAGCTGCTGTGGCCGGGGGACTGGGGAGGCGGGAGGGTGGCGGGAGCCCTAGCCAGAGCGAGCAGCACAGTACACGAGCCTCGGCCCCCGGGCCGGCCCCCCGGGGCTCCGACCAGCTGCCTCCGCCCTACAGGTGGGAAGAGGCCCAGAGTGGTTAATGGGTAAGGACCTAACCCAGAGATACACGAGTGAGAGCGGGAGAGCTGGGATTCAAACCCATGCGGTGCGGCTCTGGAGTCCGAGCCCTCCCCACCAAGTCGGCTGCTTGTGCCCCTCAGAGGAACCCAGGCCGTCTACCTCAAAAGCCTTACTTTCTGAAGATACCCCACCCTGGGAGGGTTCCAGACTCCCTGGCTGCGCCTGTACTCCGCCCTTCTCTGGTGGGGTTTAATTGTAGGGTAGGCTTGTTTTACTCATGGTCCATGTAATCTCTTTGTTATGCATCTCAGGTGACACCAAGCTCAAGACCGTCCAGGGTGTCGTGACAAGGTACTGTGGCGATTATGGCATGATTGATGATTTGATCTACTTCTCCAGTGAGGCTGTGACCCGCAAAGTGCTTCTGAATGTTGGACAGGAAGTTACTGCGGTTGTCCAAGAAGATAAAGTGTCAAATGGACTGAAAGCAATTAGGGTAAGGCCTGAGTTGTATGCGAAGCCTCTCTTCACTGTGGGGCTTCATGTTTCCACCCTTCTTTTCTTGTTCTTAATTTAAAATGTTTTTAATGTTTATTTTTGAGAGAGAGACAGAGTACAAGGGGGGAGGAGCAGAGAGAGAGAGACACACACAGAATCCAAAGTAGGCTCTAGGCTCTGAGCTGTCAGCACAGAGTCTGACGCAGGACTCGAACTCCCGAACAGTGAGATCATGACCTGAGCCGAAGTTGGATGCTTAACTGACTGAGCCACCCTGGCGCCCCTCCATCCTTCTGTTTAGTTAACCTCTTAGAGACGACATGGGCAAGTTAGGGAGTGGTCTGTACCATCTTGAGGGTGCTTTTGTTTTTATAATGGTTTCGTCTTAAAAAATCAATGGGGTCTATTGTATATTATTCAGACAACGTAGAAAGTTGTAATTTAAAAAATAAAGCTCATTGATAATTTTATGCGAGGGCAAAGAACACGTAACATTTCTATTTCTTTTTTTAACATTTATTTATTTTGAGAGAGAGAGCATGCGCACAAGTGAGGGAGGGGCAGAAGGAGAGAGAATGAATCCCAGTCCTGCTCTCCACCATCAGTGCAGAGCCAGATTCAGGGCTCAATGCCATGAACTGTGAGATCATGACCTGAGCCAGTTACCAAGTTGGACACCCAACTGACTAAGCTACCCAGGGGCCACAACATTCCTATTTCTTTTTTTTTATTATTATTTTTTAATTTTTTGAATGTTTTATTTATTTCTAGGAGAGAGAGAGAGACAGACAGACAGCGCGAGCAGGGGAGGGTCAGAGAGAGAGGGAGTCACAGATTGAAACAGGCTCCAGGCTCTGAGCAGGCAGTCAGCACAGAGCCCGACGCGGGGCTCGAACCCACGAACCGCGAGATCATGAC